CCTTATGGTTGAAGTATCTTGTTGTCATGATATATGCGTTGGAAACGACGGGAAATAGATGAAACAGAGTTACCAGATTCGACTTTGTGTTCTTAATTGCTTATGAGAGGTAAGAATTGACGATGAAGAAAGCACAAGTTGAACTTAACACTAGTTGTAGAACATGATCCATGAATTAGCCATGAGGTGTGGGAGTGATAGTGATGGTGAGATGGATTGCAGTGAGGACAAGTGTGATATCAGTTAGTGGAGAGATAATTCAGATCAGACCAGTTGCTTATCCTTTTGATAGATTCTTAGATGGCATGGATGAATTAGACAGCCAAGGACTTGATCGATTGCAGATAAAGATGCTCGCAACGGTAAATGAGATGTGATTGATGATTGATGATTGATGATTGATAATAGACAATAGATAATTGACAATAGATAATTGATTGATAGCGGTGATGGTATAATGTGATATGTTTGAATCTTTCTTTCCCCAGATTCTTTCTGGTTTGTTTCGAATTGAGTTGAGTGGATGGGATGGATGAACTTGGAAATACCGGTAAAGTAAGAAAATAATAACTTAAGTGATTAATAATGATTTAGTACTAACTCATTACCTACCTAGTACCATCTCCTAGTGATTGCCTACATGTGAACTTTAACCTTAAGCTGGGAAGGTTAATAATAAGGCAAAGGGAGTGAAGACTGAAAACAGAAAGGAGAGAAAAGGAGAGAAATGGAAAGCAAGGAAGAAGCCGAAAACAATATCTACGTGAAGAGCTGGAGGTAAAGAGAGATCCGACCTAGTAATTCAAATACTCAACTTTGGATTGACTCGGTTTGGAGATTCACGATTAATAGACAACAATCAATACATACGATCAATTGAGCGATACATAGGTACCTTCACACACATATACTCAATATACTCAATATACTCAATATACTCAATCTACTCAATCTACTCAATCTACTCAATCTACTCAATCTACTCAATATATACTCGAAGAGTAACAACACATTTAATACCATCACGTCGGAGAATATCCTTCAACATCTCAATCACAAAGAATCAACAATCAATGGATCCCCAAGTCCAAGTATCCAGTTCATACCAAGAATAATCCAATCCAATTCACGAAAGTCAATTAAATTGTCCACATCAAACGTCCTATATATTGTATTTGGTATGTATCTGTTGATAATTCTCTCGTCTCCTTCTCCCTCTCCTTCTCCCTCTCCTTCTCCTTCCTATTCTCTTCTCCATTCTCACTCAAACTTGATGTGCCTCTTCTGACCTCTTCTTCATAGATAGACAACAAATACTTGGAATACCTTCATTTCCATTTCCAGCTCTTGCAGACTAAAACGATACTTCGTACATAAAAGAAACGGCTTTCCCCAGATATATCAATCAATCACCGTCTTATTCCGCCTAAAGCCGTGGATCCCCCCATTTTCACTGTACATTTTACATGGGGCATTAGATGCTAAGATACCCCGTTTCCACTTCTCATCCTGCACCTCAGAAACAACCCAACCCAACCAATCCAATCCATTCGCCATTATGACTTCGACATCGACCGCAGGTCATAGACTTGATCCTATTCAAACCACAAACTTGTCATTAAATACGGCTCCAGTCGAGATGGATGATCTTGATACTGCAAAAAATTCAAAACTTGTCTCAGGAACGTCGGGTCTATTAAATCATATTTCGATTCCGGAAACATCGCCAATAACATCCGATTATCCATCCTATCCATCAAATTCCTCAGTTTTACCCACAGCACCCACAGCACCCACAACAACAACAACAAAAATAACAAATCCCACGACAGAGATGGTGGACTCATCAAAACAAAATGCCTCTGTTGGGGATGGTGGTTCAACATCACAAGAAGCATTGACCGCGCAACCCGTTACGAACGAAGAAACCTCTTCTATTGATCGTGCGCCTGCGCCGCCACCAACAATGTCGAAAAGCGAAGGTAAAGCCCCTGCTACCGAATCATCCTCCGACGCTCAAGAATCTTTAACTTCGCGACCACGAATGAATTCAGAAGCTATCGGTCCCTCTCTTGAGATCACCAAAACACCACCACCACCTGCTGATGGAGGGCCCAGAATCTTGATTACCTTGTTACTCACATCTGGCGCGCGCCATCCATATAAGATCGATGAGAAATATCTGACCAAACGCTCTGTTGCGGTACCCGGTGTTACAGAAAATGGAAAGAAGGATCCTCTTACTATTAGTGTATATACGCTCAAGGAGTTAATATTAAGGGAATGGAGAGACGAATGGGAAACGAAGCCGAGTAGTCCAACCAGCATACGATTGATATTCTTTGGGAGGCTGTTGGATGATAAGGATCCTCTGAAAGGTACGTTTTGTCAATTTACAATTTGCATGTTCGAGTGCCTTGACTTGATATCAGAGGCACTTGAAATTCTTGGTCCAATACATTTCTATGACGAGGACTGTGATTTGTCAATGTTGCAATATATTTAGCTAACACCCACTCCTAATAGCATGTAAATTCAACCCCGAAACATCAAATGTGGTACATATGACTATCAGACCCCAGGATATAGTCGACGAGGAAGATGCATCAAAAGCAAAGTCCATGGGTCGAGGAAGAGGAGAAGATGGAGAAAGCAATGCTGGGTGCAGATGTGTTATTCTCTGAATCCAATCATTCAAAAGTCACCATTTTCGTACAAAGTACAAACTCGAATTCTGTCTATGGAAAGCGTCGAAAGGGGAATCTACTTGTATACATGATTCTCCAATTCATTGAACAAAGATACAGCCAAGCACATACATCACAACCCAAGTCACCCAACAGAATGGGCATATCACGAGCGAGAAAATGGCGTTGCGGGTTCAATTTGATTGAAGGGTGACTTTTCCCCTATTTTGCTTTCTTTATACGGTTTCTCGAGCGTTTTTCAAATAAAAGGGTCATGGCATCATATCAGATGTGAAGCTTTGTTAATACAGGATTTGAGCGGGTGGAGGCGGACTGGGCGAGAACGAGAGCTGGTTGTATGTTGTGTTGTGTATAATAAGATGGATGTGTGATCATATATGGATTTTAGGACATCAGGAAACTGCGCATGGAGTGTGAAAGATGGCGGAGGGGTGAACAGAGAAATGATTGGCGAATTGATTTTTCTTGATTGATTTGATTGATAGCGAGCGACATGGTTAGCATTTGGGAAAGGTGAGATATTTGAAAGGGAACTTAGGAATTTGCTAGGAACAATATAGGACAGATGATGTTCTGGGTCGCAAGAGCGAATGCTTTATTTGCTTGACTTGACTTTTTGGATGAGGACATCTGAAACACCTCCGAATCACATTTCATTATGTTACCGAGGAGCTGTGGTCTGATAGGGTATAGTATCCTTCATTCAGCCTTATCATATATTTGAATTTGGTATTTGCGTGATACGAAAATGAAAATACAAGCAAGCAACACTCTTTTTTCCTTCACTCCAGATGCTCATCTATCATTCATGAATTTCAATCTCACTGCAAGGTGAATTTATGCATCCATCAAAATCGATTGCTCGTATTAAATCCATATCCACATCCCGTTCCGTCATGATTCAGAGTCAGGAAAGAAAGATAGAGGTCTAGCATCTGATTTAGAAGCCCATCTTAACCTTCCTCTCCACTTCCTCATGGAAACCGGGTAATGTCCTTGTCTCGTCACCTTTAAATACATCTTCCCAGCTAATCGTCGTGTCGGATCCTCGTAGAATTTCTTCGTGGAGACCTAGATTGATAAATGTTAGCTCTGGATTTTTGATATTGTATTGCATCTTGAGTTCCATTCGCAGCTGATCTTTCGCTTGCGGATCTCTCTCTCATTTCTTTAGTATTTTCGAGATCGTATCACATAACATAATCCGAGTATATCAAAATCCAAATAGAAATAAACACATACCCGGTCCACCACCTCCAAGCGCAAGAGGTCTCCATTCCCCTTCTCTCGTAATCTTCAATTCCATACCTCGACGGATGGGTTCGCTCATACCGAAAGTGCGACGCAGAGAAGCCATCTTGAGGGATTCTTGCGTGGATTCCCATTTCTTGAGACGGTTTTCGAGTGGGTGCGAGGAGTCGGGGAGCGTGGAGAGCGAGGAGCTTTGGGTTGGGCCGACGCCGTGGCGGAGTGTGTCGTGCAGACCTGGGGCCGAGGGGGCGCCGAGGGACGCTTCTTGGAGGTGTGTGTGCGTGCTGGTGTGCGAGGCGGAGGGAGCGATGCGCATTGCCTGTGGGGAGGGGTGTTAGTTTGGGGTTGAGGTTTGGGGGAGAGAGAGGGAGGAAGTGGAAGAGGATGGTTGTTGGGGACGTGGGTGTGTAGGTTTATAGAGAGATGGATAGAGAGAGAGTTGAGAAACTTACCATCTTGAATTATTTTTCTTATTTAAATTTAGAGATGTAGTAGAGTAAAGCGTGTGAATTGTTGATTTCGGAAACAAGTTGTGAGTTTCTAAATACCTTTGACAATGGTGGTTGGAAAGCTGGATTCTTGATGTAGGTATTATGATGGGGGAGCTGTTATGGTAGAGCTTCAGGCTGCTCTATGGAAGACGTGTAAGCGCGAAATGGAACGGGCCGGAATTAAGCGCCGCTAAGGTTTTGATAAGGATGCTTGGTATCTGTTTATCAGCTTTATCTGAAAAATAATTGAAGAGGTAGACCACTTTGAATTTACACTTTCATTCAAACCAATCGATATTTTTGAGTGTATTTGGTGTGTTGATTGAATTACTATATGCAAGTAAGAATAAGTATAACGCTTTCTAATCAATCATTTTATATTCAAATATAACCTGTAAATACTAACTTGTGGCAATAAGTCCAGGTACAGGCTTTAATGGTGGATCATCAAAAGCTTTCCCCGCGTTCCGGGGTCGGCTCTCTTTCCCTTTTTCACAAGTGACTCAATTCTTTTCTTCAAGATGGAAATTCCAATTAGTATCAAGACGCAATGGGGAGACCTATGATATGGAATCACAAGACTTTGCAGCTGCGTCGATATGGCACAAGTACAAGGACAAGGACAACTCATCCACCAATCGTTAGGATCAACAATGGCACATTTTATCGACATCATCCAAATTCACATCATCATGTTCCCGGACATGCGAATCCTGCTCTATTCGAGAAATTGAACTTTGAGATACCTTCATTTTCAGAAGGAGAGAAGCATTGGGCGATACTTGGAGCTTCATCGTCTGGGAAAACTACACTATTGCAGATTTTAAGAGGAGGTCTTCTATGTATTCCGCCAACAGCGCGATCATATCCATACCTCAGTAACGATGCTTCCAAGCCACGAACTCCGACCAAGGCAATCAAATATGTGGGATTTGATGGGGAACAAGGATTGGGAAAACAGGCTCCGAAAAGCGCATATCTGAGTGCGAGATATGAGTCGAGGAGAGAGGATACAGATTTTAGCGTATGGGATTATCTACAAGGGAATACGGAGCTCAATCCTTCGACGAAGATAGATGCCAGTGGTTTTGATCCCGAGATACTCGTTCGTGTGATAAATGATTTGCGATTGGGGGAATTGTTGAATATGCCGGTATCGAATCTGAGTAACGGGCAAACGAGAAGATCGAGAATTGCGAGAGCGTTATTGGAAAAACCGGAAGTGTTGCTTTTGGATGAACCTTTGATGGGATTGGATCCTCCTACGTTGTTAACTTTGAGTCCAATGTTGCATCGATTGGCTAAGGCGAATACTCCGAGACTTGTTTTGTCGTTGAGACCGCAGGATCCTATACCGCATTGGATAACGGATTTGGTATATTTGAAGGGAAATTGTGAAGTTGCTTTCTTGGGACCAAAGGACGATGTTTTGGATCAATTGAGAGAACATGTTGAGAGGAGTAGGGATGGAAGTGATGAATTGAGTCTCCATTTGACGCCGTCATCTTTGAAGGAGATTGGGAGGAAGTTAACTTTGGAGGGGATTGAGCGGCCTAGCTTTGAGAAAAGTGTGGCTACAGGTGGCAACTCAACCGTCGCCGCAAAGAATGTTCCGGAAAGCGCAGGTCCAATGAGTCGTGATGGTTACCCTCTGAATGATGTTAAGCCATCAGAGACGGGTGAAGCACTCATCGAGATGGAAGGTGCTCGAGTAAAGTATGGAGATAAATCTGTTCTTGGTAACTGGACTGAGACAGTAAACGGTGTCGAGAAAGACGGCTTATGGTGGAACGTCAAAAGAGGTGAGAGATGGGGTATTTTCGGTCCAAATGGTTCTGGGAAAACAACTCTTCTGTCTCTGATCTGTTCTGATCACCCTCAAACCTACTCTCTCCCCATCCGTCTATTTGGAAAGTCTAGATTACCCGAACCTGGAAAGCCTGGGATATCGATTTTTGATCTCCAATCCAAAATTGGACACTCCAGTCCCGAGATTCATAATCACATTCCTCGTAATTTGACTTTGAGGAAAGTTCTCGCCAATGCTTGGGCAGATACTTTCATGGGATTACCAAAATTAAATAATAATGCGAATGAACGCATCGATGCAGCATTGAGATGGTTTGAACAAGATCTGAGGTTAGGAGGAGCTACTGGTCAAGATAATGGGAATGAATCTCTATCATGGGCTGATGATATCTTGTTTCGCGAAATGCCATTTTCATCTCAAAGAGTAGCACTATTTCTTCGGGCCATAATCAAAGCACCAGATTTAGTCATTCTAGATGAAGCATTCAGCGGTATGGACGATGGTGTTCGTGATCGATGTCTTTTGTTCCTAGCCCATGGCGAAGAAAAACAATTCGCACACGTTCAACACGAATTATCAGTCAATGAAACGGAGAGAAAAGCGCAGAATCTTCAGATTGTTGAATCAAATATCTCGAAGGGAGGGAGGGTAAAAGTTAAAGGATTGGATCAGAATCAAGCACTTCTTTGCATTAGTCATGTGAGAGAAGAGATACCGGGGAGTGTGAGGGAGTGGATTTGCTTACCGGAGGCGAATACGGGGAAAGGAGCTAGGTTTGGGAGGTTGAATGGGCCAATTGAGGGGGATTGGAGGAGGTGGGGTGAGATTTGGGGGTTGGGTAGTTAGTGGTTGGGAAGTTGAAGAGGAATTTTGGAGGGGATCTTAAACAAATGGGAGAAGATGAATTTGAGATGATGTAATGGCTTTGAAGATCTTAGATTTTTTGGATAATAAGAGAGAGATATTATTCATGGGATAATGGAGATTGGCTTTTTGCTCCTTTTTGTGTGGAGTAGGATGGGAAGATCTTTCTATCGAGCGAACAATCAATCCTCAATCAGAACTCATAAATATATATTTGCATCCGTCCATCTCTCTAATCAAACTTTTGGGATATACTAGCAAAGCAGGTTTCATAAATATAAAGATCCAAGTCATGTTCGTGCGAATTGGTCAGGTTATCTGCTGCTAAAGCTTTTCCATTTCTAGTTTCTAGCCCCCATCACTCTACACCATTTCTCAGTAAATCTCTAATTCATCCTTGATCACTAACCCTATTCACACTCCCCACCGAAACCCTTTACAACTCTCCCTTCCCCTCCCCCTCCTCCACCAACCCCATCACCATACTCATCTCACCCCTCTCCATCCAATCCAAATCCCTAAACCTCCTCTTCACAATCCCATTTCTCCCTGTTAAAAACATCACCTCCATGCTCGCATCACCGTTATTCTTTTCATAATCATATCTAGCTTCGCAAATATGGGTTGTATTTCTTTCCTTAGGTTATTGGAACTAGTCTGGATGTCGAGTTTTCACACGAGGATAGCGTTGAGGCGGAGTACTGAGAAGTTCGAATTGGAAGATGTGGGTTTTGATGGTGCGGGGGATTTGGGGGGGGGGGCGGGGAGATGGCGAGATGGGGAGGTGGGGAGGTGGTTTATGAATAGAGTGTGAGGGGAAGAGGGAAGGGAGGGGGTTTGGAGGGTGTGTAGTGTGAGGTTGGAGAAGAGATACTAGGAGCTACGGTGGGAGGTTATAAGGAGGGGGAGCTGAGGAGAGTGGGGATGGAGAGGGGGGTTTGAGGGCGTTGGGGAGGGTGCTAGGGTGGGAGAGAAGGTTTGTTGGAAGTGGGTGGTGCTTTTGCTGATGGGGTATCTGATGTGGGAGGGTGCGGTGGCTTGGAAGTGAGTGGTTACAGAGGCGAGTTGAGAGGCGAGTTGGGGGGCGAGAGATATGCTTGGAGAGTTGGGGTTGTGTGATTAATGGTGTGGTGTGATTGGGGTGAGTATCTCCCTACTGCTGCAATCAATTTTTTAAAGTGATGATGTGGGAGTACGAGAAATATTGAAGATATATATAACAATACTTTTCTCTATATTTTCATCTCTGTAACGCAGATACCCTACTTCTTTATGATCCCTCGAACTCATATTCATATCCATCATTAGCCGTACATGAACGAATTTTCAATCCATAATTTTACTACAGAATTCAAATTCCTTACGAATTGATCGGTTATCCAATAGGAGGGGTGTGTGTACGAATCCTTTTCGCGTTCGGGTTGCTGTTGGGAAGAGCTGACGGATATCGTCTTGCTACTTCGAGGGGTGGAGAGCTGGGGTGATTAATTTAATGACTAGGTGATTGTGATTCCAAATTCGGGTTTGATTGGTTGTTGGTTGTGATATTTCACATGTGTGTAAGTATATCGTTGTATTTCGGTAAATGTTGTTGATAGCATATCCTATGGTTCGTTTGTTGCTGAGTATTACAAAGTGCAATGGTAGATGCTAGATAATGTCTAATAGGCATGCATTGTGTGCTTGTGAATATCTGGAGATAAAGTAAGCTGGAGATAGGTATGGTTTTGCATCTTTAAGGTGAATAATGACTCATTGAATCGTAATATATACCTAGTAGGTGCTATGCATGAGACCGCCATCGTAACTGATGGAAAGAAAAGAACTACTCTTGTGCGAAGTATTTCTAATCGAGCTCAAATATTATTACATGAGGTCTGGCAACTATATCGCGATTTGTGATGCTCAAGACTACCTAGGTAGTCATACTTTGATAAAATCTATCTGCGAAATCAACAACGAATCCACTCCTTAATCATGCAGAGAATCGCTTTTAAGAAACGACCTCATACGTCACACGGTTCTGTTAATCTACCATCCTTTAGACAAATTTATCCGCATCTACCACATCCCACGCATCGCCATCCAAGTATCAAGATCTGCAGGCCATTGTTGATGCATTCTCAACCATGGATTATTCTCTCCCCGCAAATAGTTCCAGCCATATTTATAATTTTCTCCTCTTCGATGAGCACTTTGCCAAAAACTATCATATTCTTGACGGAATCTCTGCATCATTTCTCAGCCAACGATAACTCTATACACAAAAAGGTACCTACGTTAGGACCGCTATGATTCCAATCTTTGAACTTGGAAGGATCGATTCGTCGACCTTGATGATAGGCCTTGTAAATTTTGTTATATTCATCCAGGTTTAATCGTGGATATTCCCATGCATGATTTCCGATTCCATAACCGTTCCAATCTTGAGCTTGTTCCCATTCAACATATTTTCGTGTATGTGGATCATATCTTTTGAAATCTCTTGAGAATGCTCCGGTTACTTCTTGTTTATGCTTATGTTCATCGTGGTATGAATCCCTGATGGAGAGTCAGCTAGATCATATGCGATATCTTCACTACAAAAATTACCAATTCTGCCATCGATCGGGACTAATTCTGCTTCCTTGTTTCCCGACAAAGATATCTGGTCCCTTGTTCGTCACAACATTATTGAGCCTTCCCAGAAATCCTCGATGACCACGACCTTTGGGACCATCTTTGGGCCAAATGAACTGTAAATTTTTCTTCTTTTCTGGCATGATGAGAATAAGAACTGAGTGCTGGTTTATAAAGCAACCAAACGAATGTAAGAGAAGTGTGGATGAAAAATTCAAGACCATCACATAATGACTAGATATAAAGGTTTCTAGACAGGTTTGACTCGGTTGGACCGAACACTCTCAGGGCTTGCTCTCTGAACCGTTGTCAAATTCATAAGGTGCACTTGACCACCATAGCAGAGCATAGCAAATCAAATAGTTTGTGAAGATTTATCAGCAATTGGAATCATAGCCTCCATTTTCTCCGCCCTGGAAAGGAGTCATATTTGGTCATGTTCATGACAGCAATGTCTGTACAGTTCATTGCTTGTTCTGCAAACACTATATACATATAGAAAGGCAATCTTAGATGGCAAGGAGAACTAGCAGTAGTTTCACAGGATTAAGATGAATAAAGAGGACAGCAGGTCTGACAGTTTTATGACTAGACAAGCAGCAAACAGCTGGTATGCCATCTTGTCATACCTTTCACTAGAGAGTATGAGCAATAACTGTATGCTATATCGTACTACTTGGTATAATGAACCACAATGCAAAAGTTTGATATACCTCATTCTCTCATTGTCACGTCATGTCATCGTTATTTTGTTGACAGTCAATATCAATGACAAAAAGAATTGAGTGAGACCCAAGCTCGAGTCAAGGTGCTGACATAGATCGAAGCACGTGAGAAACAAACGGTCTGGCAAACTTGTGGGGCAGAACGCGGTTGGGGTTGGGGTCGGCAACACATCGCGTCTACCATACAAAGGACAAGAAACTCTAGATGAAAGTAAACATCATAATCAACAACCTGTTTTCTATGAGATTATTCTTGATTCCCAATCGATCGAGCTCAATCATTTCCGAAGACATTAGATGGGGAAATACGGGAGCAAAACCTTGGACAACAGATCGATTTGAGCTTTATATCAATATATAGGGAATTCGGGAATTCAGGGATCCTGCTGCGCGTCAAACCTCGAACTATCTGCAACATTCACTCCTTGGGAAAAGAAGGACTTGCCGTTAAAGCTATTTAATACCTCTCATCCTCGATTCTGAAGTCCTGCCCATGTTCCAAGGCGGTTTGCACGATTAGAAACCCATTTTTCTCAGCGATTATCCACCGTTTGACAACGCATCGCAGTCGCGAAACGAATCATCAACTGGGGTTTATTGGCGTTAATTGGAAGGACTTGATTTGATTATTTGCATTTCTACAAGGCTGGAGTGAGGTTTCGAGGTTTAAGATCGATCACTATTGCAGCATTTACCCCGAGAACCAGGACTTGATCACGCACAACAATTTGGCGACATAGAACGATCTCCCCTCGTCTACATGGTGTGCGCTATACTCGAAATGACCTGAACTGGAAGTGAAGCCCAGGCATACCGTCTTGATCGCATATTCAACTAGCGCAAGACATTAGTTCAATACCAGAATCTTGAGACTCGGAGCGCAATCAACTAAGACTCGAATTTGTTAGGAAGAGAGGAGGAGACGGAGAGGAACAGAGCAGTAATAGCCTGTCTATCTTGCCGCAACAATGCCAACAATCAATGTCTTGCCAACCTCTGCTGCTGAATTGCAGGAAGTTGCAGATATCCTTGCGAAATCAAGGAAAGTTGTGGTTGTGACAGGAGCTGGAATCAGTACGAATGTCGGAATACCTGTATGTGGACCGCAGCCTAAACTACCCTTCGAACTACTGCTAACCCAGCAAATAGGATTTTCGTTCCGAACATGGACTATATTCCATGATACAAGCCCAATATGATGCTGCACTGGAGAATCCGCCTTGGGAAATTAATGATTATGATATTGATGATCGACCGAAGAAGAAAAGGCGTGTCACGGAGCGCTATTATTACGAACTTGTGACAGCCGATGGTGTAAGGGTAGAGCTGCCACCTGAAGAATCAACTGAGTTGCCCTCTCAGCAACCCTCTGAGCAGTCTTCCCAGCAGTCTCCTCAACAATCCTTTCAATCGCCATCAAAAGAACCTTCAGCGCAACCAGAAACCCCTGCTCTAGCTCCATCGAGAAGGAGTTCTCGCAGACATGCATCTTTGGTACAGGACAATCTCATAAGTGAATCTCAGAAACCGAGTGTGGAAACTCCATCTGCTATCAATTCTAATACCTCGATCACAAACGAGAATGCAGACAATAAATTACCAATATTACCCCCGAAGCGCCAAACTCGAAACGCTTCTTCGGCGCAGGACAAGTCTTTCAAGCAATCTTCGACACCAAATCCAAAGGGTCAATCTGCTCATAATCTGCATGATTCTCTTTCTCAGGCGACTCCCACTAATGCACCAGATTTGTTGCCCCCGAAAAGGCAAGCTTCTAAGTCTCGAACTTCTATTTTGGCACAAGATGATATCAAGATTGAATCGCCACAACCCAACACCAAAGGCAAGTCTTCTAAACTTCGGGCTACTCGCGCTTGTGATAGGTGTCGAGTTCGAAAGATTAAGTGTGGTGATATCCGGCCAAGCTGTGAACCATGTGCCAAATCCAAAGTTGAATGTATTACCACCGAAACTCCCAATCGACGAGTATCTCAAATTGAAAATACCAAATCTCATGAAGAAATAAATCCTTCAATGGAAATGGAACTTGATTCGGAAAGTTCCAATACTGAAGAAAATGCTTCACAACAATTACTTCAAGAATCGAGTGAATATTCATCTCAATATTCATCGGAATATTCTCGGATGTCCCAAGACTTGGAGTCAATTGACAATAAACAAAAACGGACTCGACGTTCACTCCGAACAAGCTCTCCCTTATCTTCAGCAAAAGAAGAAAATTCCAATACAACAATAATTTCTTCTGATTCTTCCTCATCAAATTCACTACGACGTGAAAGTAGTCTTCGGTCAACAATTCAAGCATCAACCACCAATCTAATATCTATTCCTTCAAAATCACGAACACTTCAAAGGTCTTCGTCTCTTATACCTTCTGTCGCCAGTTCAATTCTCGAAAGCAAGACTTCACGACAATCAGTGAGATCACGAGCTGATAGTTTACCTCCACAACTTACAGAACAATCTTCTTCACTTCTCAGAAAATCTTCCCGAAGAAATGCACCTGCATTTGAAACTTCCAACAGCAAACTCTTTTCAACCACAAATACTGAAATTGTGTCTACAACTGGCAGCGCCACACCTTCAGTTTCATCAAGTGATTGTAGTAGCAATAACAACAACAAGAAACGAAATCTATCGAGTGAAGTCAGTTCTGTCACAACTGCTTCCGAATTTGAAGAACCTCCTTCACAACCATCTCAATCGTCTTCATCACGCACGTTACCAAATCTTAAAGGAAAAGATCTATTTGACTCAGTCATTTGGTCCGATCCTTTCTCAACTTCTATATTTTACATGTTTATCTCCAATTTTCGTCGCAGAATTAATAACGATGTCAAGTCTACCACCACCACTCACCAATTTATCCGCTCTCTCAGAGACAACGGTCGCCTCGTCCGGAATTACACACAGAATATCGATTGCCTCGAAGAACGCGAAGGACTCACTACGGATCTCGAACTTGGCGCGGGTGATCGCACGCGTTTTCAAACCAAAATCCAGGGCAAATCAGTCGCAGCTGGATCAGATGAACGAGGAGGAAAAGAAACCCCTGCTGCAACAGGAGTAGAGTGCGTTTTGCTACACGGGTCACTTCGTAAGTTGCGATGCGGTGTATGCTCGAAACTTACCAGTTGGGACGAGGAAGATAGGGAGACTACTACAATGGCTGGGTCCGCTCCCGATTGTCCTTCTTGCATTTCAAGCTCTATATCACGCCAAGACAAAGGTCGCAGAGGTTTAGCTGTGGGGAGATTGAGGCCTGACATTGTTCTTTATGGAGAAGAACATCCGCACGCAAATTTGGTAGGACCGTTGATCATTCACGATTTAAAATTAGGTCCAGATGTCCTTCTTATTCTTGGTACTAGCTTGAGAGTTCATGGGCTCAAGATTATGGTCAAGGAATTCGCACAAGCTGTACATGCTAGAGGAGGAAGTGTCGTTTTCGTCAATCAAACGAAGCCATCCGAGAGTCAATGGGGGGATGTGATCGACTACTGGGTAGAATGGGATTGTGATGCATGGGTGCTGGACCTTAAAAGGAGACGAAGTGATATCTGGCAGCCATATACAAATGTCACACAAAATGTTGCCAGCAAGGAACCGGCGCCGTCCAAGCAGCGTAATACATCTGATAAAATACCACCATACCGTCCACAGTGTAAGAGAGACGACAAGACCAATGCAGTTCATTTCATATTCAAGATCCTTGACGATCTTCGGAAACTCAAGGATGCCAAAGGGAATGGATCAGTACGGCCAATGTACTGGGTGCCTTTCGATCGTAGGCCTTTCAGAGCTTCGACTGGACAGATACCAGAAAACAACCCGATTAAGAAGCCCCGATCATCAGTATTACCCATTAGAAAAGGTCGAAAATCTCTCCCAGCTTCATCGTCAACCAAAGTTCCCACAACTTCCACGAGTAGCAAATCCCACAGACGGAAAACTATCCCCGAAAACACTCCTGCGAAAATGTGTCCAACTGAACCACATCGCAGTGGTGCCTGGCTTGAAGACTCTCTTTTGAAAATAGTCCGCAAACTCACCAACAACACGATTTCTGAAGACCTTTTAGAAGACCTACGCGGCAGAGTCCCATTTGAAAAACTTGCCGAAAATGTACCAGGGAATAGCATTGGATACAAGAGATCTTTCTCAGATGTTGGCATAGATGGTGCATTGGAAGGAATTGGTCTCCCAAATATGCGTGGACTATTAGATTCTAGCATTAGTATCAAAGGAATGAGTTTGAGTAGTTTGCCTCCTACTGGATCCCCGGAATCAGGAAGGAAAGATTTGGGGAAAGGAAAGGGAAAGATGATTGACAGAGGAGAGAGGGAAAGGACTAGTTTGCCGCTTGAACCGGCTTTGGAAGAGGATCAGAATACCATTGTGGTGCAGTCGAGACAGGTACAGGCCATGAAACATTCGTATGGGACGAGAAGTAAACGAAATAGGATGGAAATCAGTGTTGATGATATGGGAGTGAGTGGGAGTGGGAATGCGGGAGATACGATTGTGGTTCTCAATAGGGATAGAATGAGTATTGGAGCTGTTTGTAATGATAGATGAATGATCGATAGTCGGATTGCTGAATTTGCTGGAACTGTATACACTGGGCTTGACTGGGAATTGATGGATTAGCTAGGGTTTAGCTCTGAGGAGAATATTTAGACAGACTGTTTTTTGCTTGGTCAATAAATAGAGGGGAGGGGTGTAGAATATGATACCATGATTTGAGCACTCTTTGTCAGTATGACTTGAGATGGAATTGGGGTGATGTATCTGTGTATCTGTGTGTTTGTATTTTTACTTGCATTTAGGTTGGCAGTAAAGTAATCCGTTCGGCTGGGAGGATATGATTCTCAGATCACCGATCTGGGTGATGGGAATCAATACGCATAAGCTTGTGAATAAGGGGATATCAATCGATTTGTAATGTTAGGTGGTATGTAATCTTACTTATCTGCAAATCATCAGATACGATTCTTCTCATATTACCTGCCTATTCGATTTGATATGAATCTGCCACTGTAATAATCGGATAGAGGTAGCATGGTATAGGCTGTGGTTGGGTAATATAGCTCAACCAAGTCTAGGTATCTTTCGTCAATTGTGTTGAAGACACCGCACCGCGCCTTTGTATCCCAATCAGATTGTTTGTCTGTCCTGTTCAGATTCAGTGCACGAATCATAAAGTAACTTCTGATTTTTTTTGTATAGCTTATAATAGTCACTCTATTCCAATGTATGTAGAGCTTTTCAAAATCTGGATTGTTATAACATATAACATATTCACTAAACGCAACTCAATTCCTCTCCACCAAATCACAGACCGTAACTCCAGACTTCTCCATACAGGAACCACAACTCCTCTCCTTTCTCTTCCCCTATAAAATCACATGTCTTCTCATAAAACCCTCTTCCGAGCCATCCCTCCATTCGCACTCTCCAAAACTCTCCTCCTCTTGATCCCAGAAGAACTTCTCACTCTCCTCCATATCTCCCTCTTGAACCCTTCAACCCAATACCCCGTCCTTCCCAGCGCATCTCCATTTTCCTTTACCCTTCTCAGTAGAAATTGTAAACACTGCTGCGTAGATCCCCACACCATACATTTATACGCTTTTGGTTTGAGCGCCTGCGTTAATCTGGATTCCTCTTCTGATTTCACAAGTCCTTTAGAAGCTGATGATGTACTGTTCGAGTCCTGGGATTCTTTTCGACGGAGTTGTAGTAAGCTGCAACTGATCTCATCGGCCATGCCTTGTAGCTGTCCAAACGCCAATTCGATGGTGGGTTTTCCGGATAGGATTCGTGAGCTTTGGAGTGTGTAGGCTTTTTTGATACTCTCTTCGTTGTGCGTGGCGAGGAACAGTTCTGCGCGTGGATATGCGTTTTCTTTTCCCATTTCCTCTGTCTTTTCTGTCATTGCAGTATTCTTCTCGACATCTATCCCAGGATACGATAGACTTAGCAAACCAGCGGCAATCCCATTATATGCCTCATGTGTCTCTTCAATACTCCCCCATATCAACTCCCGCTTCTCGGTAGCAATGTACGCACCCCTGACCAATTTTATGCCCAGTACCCAATTCTCTTTCTGTGCAAGTTTTAAACATCTTAGGATATTCGATGGAGTGGATCTTAAATATGCTTGCATGGTTGTGTAGAGTAATGCTTGGGATCCGGTGTTGTAGATGCGCATGAGATCGATAGTCCATGACTCGATAGTGTGCTGTAAGTCTTGCTGTTCTGCATCGAGCCAGATACGTGCAGATTGGGAGGCGGCGGTGCGGAGGAGTATATGCATGGATTGGAGGAGCAGGGGTGGTGGGGGGAGGCCATTTTGGAGAGCGTGGAGCACGAGCGGGCCTGCGCCGGAAAATCTGGGGGTGGGAGGCTTAGCGGATTTATTTTTGGGACTTGGGAAATATTGATATTGATATTGATGTTCAAGAAAGGAAGGGAAACCTTACTTGAGCGAAAGAAAATCTCCAGGTTGTAGCAAAGAAAGGGTACTCATGAGTCCATCTCTCCATTCCCTGATAGCTCTCTCCCCTACCTCCTTGCTCACCCCTGATACATCTCCACCCACTTCTCCTCCAGAAACATTGACTTCCCTCGCATATCCCAATATCACCCCGCTAAATCCCAATCCCTTCATTTCTTTCACCCGAGCTCTCACTTGAGTAGCATTTTCCCCGGCGATGAAATGATCGTAGATGAATTTCCGGACGATCATATGTAACACTGGATTTCTATCGGGATTTAAGATCGTTGAGCTGGAATTTGCGAGCTTGTTAAGGAGAGGGAGGAAGAACTTGATGATTTTTGGGGAGGCAAGAATGGAGGTTATGAGGTAGGATTTGAGGAGGAGAGGAAGCGGCATTATGGAGAGGGGTGGAAGCTCGGAGGTTGGAGAGGTGCTGAAGGGGGGAGGGGTGGGCGTGGGCGTGTGTGGAAACCCATTTTGAGGAGAGATAGTTGAGGTAATGGATGAATAGTGTCTGAGAGATGGTATATGATATCTCCTTGGTGTAAGTGAAGGAAATCTAGAAGATCGTCGTAAGAACATTTCAATAAAGATCGATAGCACTCGAGATGAAAGGAAAGATCAAGAGATCAAGAGTCTCGAAGTAAACATTACCTGGGACCTACATAGTATAAACCCTGTGATATATCCGGAAACTATCACTTATCAACCCGATCGTTCTACACAACAGTTGGTTCGTGTATCATCGGGTCTATATTGGCATGCATCCACCTCGTAATGGCACCTCGACCCCGCATGTCGATATCATGGTATTGCCTTATCTGGAGAGTGGGTCCTTATCGTGTAGTTTATTGTGACATTCATGTGCGTAAGTCCAGAATAGGAATCTGGATTTGAGTGGTAAATGTATTATGGAGTGCAGATCGACTCGGCGATCCTTTGGCTGCTCGCTTTCCGTGATAAGGAGTACCGAGGGGGATATGTCTAGACATCTTATTCTTGAAACAGCCAGGGTGATTAGTACAAGAAACGTGTTGGCGAACCTTCTGTTAAGCCACTTTTGTTTGCCGGTCATTATCATTCGACTCCATTACGTCAAACAATGTTGAAGAGAACTATAGATGGACATTCAGAGTAGCTGTGGGAGCCAAAGAAAGAAAATAAAATATGGACAATTTTTGGTTTCAATCGAAGTTTTAGGGTGTATATTTTGAGCCTTTCGGCCAGCCGTCTGTTGCGCCCCTGGATTATTAGTGTCATAAATCAGAAGAAAATATCCGAGGAATCATATATCCAGGTCGGTAAAAACTTCGATAAATTGTTAGTCTATTTAGACGATGTTCTATTCTACTGAAGCCCGAGCTCCTTTTATCGGATTTATATCTTCGTTCAGTAAAAGTAGAGCAAGAAATAAATGTCATGAGTTCTTCAAGGCGTCCAGTCTCAAGCAAAATAGCGTGTCGGATCATCAAGCATCAAACCAGTCCCCAACAAAGACGAGAAAGTATTTACTTCTTGCCCATATTCAATCCGTGTTGGACCGAATCAATGGTTGCATCACAATATGTTGATCGGACACCACCTTTCTCAATAGTTTTCAGACCTTGAATTGTGGTACCCTTAGGAGATGAAACCTTTTCTCTCAGAACAGCAGGATGTTCACCATTCTGTATTAACTTTGCGGCTGCGAGCATAGAACCAGCCAAAATTTCAGTGGCGGTATCTCGTCTCATTCCTTCGGAAACAGCACCGTCGAGGATTCCATCAAAGGCAGTGAGGAACCATGCTGGAGTGCAACCGGCAAGGACACCTGCAACTTGGAATACATTGTCGGGTACATATGTATATTGACCAATACTCTGAAAGATCCATTTCATGGCCTCTTCGTATTTTGGAGAAATGGTTTCCGATCCAGTTGAGATAACGGTTGATGATTCCTTGATCTGTGCACCAAGGTTTGGCATACTTCTGACAAATGCACATCCTTTTGTATCTGAGCTACCTTTAAACGCAAACTCCTTCAATTGCTCAGTTGTTGATCCTGCCAAGACTGAGATGACAAGTTTATTTGCTAAAGCATCACCGACCCCAGGAGCTCCGAGAACTTCCTCGGCCATATATGGCTTGCATGCCAGGATAATAACATCAGCCAATTGAAAAGCTTTCAAGTTGTTATCATAGAAGACGGCGAGTCTGTCTGCAGCCTTGGATTCTTTTGATGCCGAGTATACTCTAGAAGCTGAAGCTTCTGACTTGGTACAAGCAATTATATGTGAAACTGGTGTGTTATCCCTTGCATCTGGCAACGAATTGGCAGCAAGAATACCAGTAAGGATAGAACTACCCATGTTTCCTGAACTTTGTAAGTGACTTTCCTTATCATGCGAATGTTCCGACTCACCACATCCCACCACAGCGGCGACCAAGTTGTTGTTCTTGGTTGAATCTCTGTTCTTGATCCATTTTTCTATTTCTCCCAATGCTGAGTTAGCATTTGGGTCACTGCTGATACTTCCAGATCCGTTTTTCACAGCCATGATGTCAATATTGAGAGAAGAATAGGGTTCTGATGATGTTGAAATCCGAATATCAATTTGAAAAGAGACACCAATCCCACGGATAATGTGGGGGCTTAAGATTAATCATCACGTGGTTCTTAGCGTCATAACCGATATCCCTACTACGTGCACGACCCTACTATATGCACACTTTTTTTATATCAAAACAAAAATCAATTTAAAATTTAAAAATCATTATAATAATATAAAATTTAATTCAATAATTAATTAATATTATCAATTTCAATTTATAAGGATTTCGAATTATTAAATTAAGAATTGATTGAATAATTAAATAAAGAGAATATAGAATCTTGATATATAATTTCTTAATAAATAATATATTAGAATCTATTTATAGAATTATAATAAATTTTTATAGATTTTTTGATATTAATAATATTATAAAAAAATCAAAAAAATCAAAAAAGTAAAAAGAATTAAATTTAATATAGATTCTTAGATTTTTCTAATGATTTATAATATTTTTAGAAAAGTTAAAAATATTTTTTTAAATGAATTTAAATTTTATATTTAATATTAAAGATTTAAAAAGTAAGTTTTTAAAAAAGGGATTATATTAAATATTAAAATATATAGAGTTTTGATTAATAAAAGAAAATTATTTAAAAAATATCTTTTATTTTTGAAATTTTATTTTTAAAATTATCTAAATCTTAATTCTATTATATATAATAAGATTCTAATTATATAAAAATTCTTTTAAAATAAAATTCTTTAAAAAGAATTTTTTTTTCAATTCAAAATATTATTAATTCATTTTTAAAAAAATTATTTTAAATAAAAATTGATTTAATATTAATTAATAATTTAATTTTCGAAATTTAAATTTTTTTATTAAATCAAAATCTGATCAATATAGTTTCATTCTTTAATAATTGATTAAAAACTATATAACAAAAAAGTTTAAGATTGAAATTTCTTAAAAAAATTAATAAATACTTATATTATATTTATTATTAGATTAAATCAAATTCCTAATAAGTTTTTATAAATCTTTATTTAAATTTAATATTAATAAATTATAGATTTTAATATATTTATATTTTTTTTAAAGATTATTGTTATTATATAACTTAAAAATAGAATAAAATATTATAAATTCATTATTCTATTAATAATTAATTATTAAAATATTTTTTATAAAATATATTAGAATTTAATATTAATATAATTTCAAATTTTCGATAAAAAACTTTAGTTTTTTTCAAATATCTTATATTATAATATATAGAACTTCATAATTTCATTAAAAAAAACTTATATTTTTAATTATATTATAAAATATATTAATAAATAAATAATTTTTTTTATAAAAATTAATATCTTATTTATCATTATTATTATTATAATTTTTGAGATTTTTAATTTTTTTATTTCAAAATATTATATAAGTTTATTTCAATTATCTCAATTTTGAATTTCAAATTATAATATCGCTTTTTCAATTTTTAATTCAATTTTCTATATAAATAATAAAAGTGTGCACATAGTAGGGTCGTGCACGTAGCAGGGATATCGGTTATCTCAACGCTTTGATAACCTTTTCTTTATTGAGTGTCTGGTGCTTGAATTTTCTATTTATCTAGACTCGAGTGATCGATAACGAATATCATTTTACACACAAGACAAATTCATCAAAAGAAGGTACTCTATTCGTTTCCTCCTTGAATGGCTTGTCCCTCGAAAAGCTCTATTATATCGTCTTACCTTATAATATATGTCATCGATGAACACTGGGTGCATCGTTTGCTATGTCGCGGTATCGAGATGCTTAAAGCATTTCTCATATACCAATAGGTTTGGTCGATCCCCGAGTATGCTTAGATTGTATCCTCGTTGATGAAAAACAGCTTTGTCAATACCAACATAACAACAGAATCCGGCTATCAGTTCTATTGAAGGCACACAAACCAGTCTCAATAGCTCAGCTGGACGATTTACAGGGTAGATTATGATGTATTGCTCTACATAGAAACACTCTCGAAGTCTCGAAAGTTGCAAGGTCTTTCCATATCTCCTAGCCTTGGATACGGACATTCAACTCAGCTTGCTGGGGCTACTACATGATATCAATCAAGCTTGTTACTGTTATGAATGCAATATACTCTCCAAATCCAGTAAATATCCATCACAAATCGTCCCCTAGTTACAACTGCTTAGTCCCAGTTTATCTCGACATCCTCGCCTCTTAACCACGCTGCCAGCCTCATACATCTTCCCGAAAGGACCCCCATTATATTTGGTAAATCTCGGAAATCGGATGTCCAATTCTATGCTGCGCAACAGCTAAATACCCATACCTCTCTGGTCATTTCTCTAACTCCTCTTTGGTGAAAATTTCAGGAAGGTTCTCTCCACCATCCGCGATCACCTTGGCTTTTCATAGCATAGATGATTGTATTTGACATCCCATCCGCCATCTTCGATGAGACACCAGAAGATAAATCGGCAATCACATTCTACATCGATTGAATGACCTCTATAACGAAGCGTTGAGTAATTGTGGCCTCCATTTTCCCAATGGCTCAATCAAGAGGAAGGTTGAGGTCGACTAATGTTCCATTTTCGCGGTGCATGATGAAATCTCCGTTCTTTCTTCCTTCCTTGGATACGCTGATACAATCATCAATGGCCTTCCCTCCACTCCATGCTGTTCTCTTACCAGTATCTTCCTTGGTGTGAAAGCTGGGAGATGTTATATAATTACTTACAAGTCCAGATCTTAGCACCCTTTTCGGTGAACATACTCCGATAATTTGTCTATTTTGACGCATTACGGTACAAAGGCCAACCAATACATAACTCAGGAACGCAGAAACGAGCAAGTATCTCGTCGTGCGTACCATTGAAATGGTTGTAACCCACCGGTTGGGTCTCCTTTTCTGTGATATTACATGGCATATCTTGAGAAGCTGAACACGTTTATTCGAGAATTTCAAGATGTTGGAAAGTATAGTCAGTACATTCCTCTTCGAGTTATCGAACGAAACACACTCCTCCCCTTGTTGTATGTCACCACGAAAACTCCGCTGTCGTCAAAATTGTCACAAATAATGAGGAGATCTCCGATTTCACGTACCGAACAGGAAGTAGCTAGCCAGTAGCTAGTTGTTGGCCCAAAATTGAATACGCAAGCGTTATCTAGCGTCGATGGGATGATCGGTCCCGAAACTTTGGCACCACTAGGATCAAACCTATTTTTGGCCAGATAAATTTCTCCAAAGAGTTCTACTTCCGGAAAGTGTTCATCCAGGACGAAAATTGCATTCTTCCTTGTATATTTGTTGTGAAATTAACACATATTATGAGATGGATCAGTAGTTTATCCCGAAATTCTTTTTATATTTTATATCTATCGTGCTTATATTTCCACATGTCTGAATCTATCAATTCTCAAAACTATACCGTTTAATCACTTCTTCACATTAAAAAACAAAATCAGTAAAAAACAAAAGGAAATGATCTCTAGCACCTGGAAGCCCACTTCTTCACACCCTTCTCCCCACATTCATCTAAACACAAAGAACCAAACGAATCCCACTTTCCTCAAGCGACAAGAGCTAGAATCCTCTTCCTCCAGCAGGCTTCCCAGTACCGACTGGCACGGGATCTACAATAACGCTGCTACTAGCCGGTCCATAAGTATTGACCAGAACAGAATTTGGGGTGGTCTGACCACCATTATTGTAAATGGTTGTGAATATTCTTGGAACAATTTCTGGCTTATCAGTGAAAACGATAGAAGTCTTGATGGGCTCAATAGTTTTGATTGTTTTGGTAGGTGGCGTATTCGGCTTTTCGGTAAAGTGTTGAGTTGGTTTTCCGGTGGCAGTTTGAGCGGGTCCATCGGGGTTTCCGGTAAAGTATTCAGTGGGTCTAGCTGTTACTGTTTGTTCGGGTCCGTCGGGCTTGCCAGTGAAGTGCTGAGTTGGCTTAGCCGTAGCGGTTTGAGCCGGCTCAGTAACCGGTTTCCCAGTAAAATGCTGTGTTGGTTTTGCAGTAGCGGTAGGTGCAGGTGCTGGATCAGGTTTTCCAGTGAAACCTCCAGTGGGCTTTCCATTTTCAGCTCTCTCCTCCAATTCGACTCTCATATCCGCTAATATTCCCTCTATCTCCCAATCTAAATCCAAATCTGCAACGTCTCTATCCTCTAGTTCCTCAACATCCCTCTGGCCCTTCCCCTTTGCTTTTGGCTTCTCGGGAGCATGCGTAGTACAAACCTGACTACTCTGCGCCGGCCCACCCTCGCCCCCCTTCACTGTCTTAGTAGCATGATCCTGTCCATCCTGTTGCTCACCCTTGGTAGTAACAGGCTCCGGCTTTTGCGTAGGAGCAGGAGTAGGAAAAATGGAAAGCTTGGTAGGGTCAATGATAGGAATAGAAAGCCAAGTAGGCTTGGCGTGGATGTTCTGGTTTTCGGGTATTTTAGTTGTGGCTGGGGCATCTTTTGCCGGCTCGGGGTCGGCGAGGGGAAGGGCGAGAGAAAGGGGAGCTGCGATGGCGAGCGCGGCGATCAGAAGATTTCTGTGGAGAGATGTTAGTTGCAATTTGTAATTGTTAAGTTTTGGAAAGGAAAACGTACTGGTAATGCATCTTGAAGATTGTGCAAGTGAAGCGAGATGTGAAATGAACGCGTTTGGTTTGTGAAGAGAATGAAAATAAATGGTAATGATTGTGCAAGCGATAGGAACTCGAAAGAATGGAATGTATTGGAATGAAAGAATAGATTGCTGTGTAGATTTTATTCTTCGACATTGATATTTCATTCTACTTATACTTTTTCCACAATCAACTCAGCACACCAAACCTCATTTTCAAACAACTCCATCGCCTCTTCAACTCTTCATCACAAAATCAACCAATTCTGTTTCACCTCCCATTTCGTCGGCTCCCACCCGCAACTTCAAGACACTTATTCCTCCTCTTGACTTTCCTCAATGCCTCCCAACTCCTCTCGATCCCACGTCGCACATCAAAGGTTCCTCAAGATTGATCGTGTATCACAGTACGGGCGGCACACTTGGCTCATCGCCATAAAATTCCCACGCAACTTGGCGCATCGATACGTCGATGCGTCAATTTACAACCTCTCCAAAATCTCGCAGACAGAAACCCAAATTTCTGCTAAACCAAGATCGAGGCGCTCAACCACACGTTTCAAAGATTCATGATCAATTTCCCTCCCCCTCTCACAAATAATCATTCCGCATTCTCGCCTAATCCATCCCATGTCCACTATACCACACAACCTCATCCCAAACCTTCACCCTTTTCGTACCTCTGATATCCTCATTTCCTCATTTCTGCAATTTACAATTAGCAATCTTCAGCATCAATCTCCCTTCAATTACCACCCGATCAAGATAACAACCCCTCAAGTAAGACCTTCAGATCCCTCAGGAATCCACACAAAATTCAATGTTACATGCACCATGCTGACTCAAAACTTGGCGACATGTAAGCAAGCGCAAGCGCGAGTCAAAATGAAAAACGAAATAAATTCATGGGAGTGTCACGAGATGTGGCTGCTTTGTAATGAAACTCCATTTGTCCTTTATTTTGCTTACTATTTTCTTGGGGTCTTGGGGTCTTGGGGTCTTGGCTTGAAGGTTTGATTACTTATTTTTTATAGTTGGAATTTGTATACTTTGGGGGGCTGATTGATTTCTGACTATTTAAATAGAAAAATCGTTAAGAGGATTCGTGCACTCATAATTGCAGTTTTCACAAACGCGTATCATGTTCCAATATCTTTGGATTATATCTATATACCCTAATCAATAAAAGGTACAATTTTTCTCAACTATTGATACTTAATTGCCACGCTTACTCTGCTGCGCCTTGAGATGTATCCGAAGTATAGAATCGCCTCGGACATCTGTAAGGCCACGAACGGTTCAACTCCATCTCAACTCTCGAGACTGTGTATCGAGGTCTCTTCACCAAGAACGAATTCACCGCCTTGATCACCAGGTGTTCCTCTTCCCCTGGTCCGCACAAGTTCCCACTGAATCTCCCGTTGAAAACCTTTCGCAACCTTTTTACAGTATCTTTTCTCAGCCCCTCACTCTCACCTAACCGTTTCAATAGAAAGTAAGCCACCTTATCCAAATCAGAAAGGTTGGGATTAAGAGGTATTCCAGACGGTGCTCTGTCAATTTCTGATCGGAACTCTTCACGCAACTTCATAAGCAGATACATGCACGTAGAATACATTCCGTGCCAATCAAAATGCAGAAAAAGAGCTTCTTTCTCTACGATTCCAATCATGACTTGGAGAAATTCTACATAAGTCGGTTTGAATTTTGATTTTGAGAAATGCGTTTTCAATCGGTGATTTAGATCTTTAAGATCGCTAGAGATATCGCTAGGAGAAAGTTGATTTCCGGGAAAGATGTTTTTCAAACTAGAGAGTAGCTTATCAAGTTTGTCGCTGAGTGATGCGGAAAGGAGACTACGTATGTCGTGCGAGTACCCATAATGATCACAATTTTCCTGCACGCAGACTATGTCGTGATGATATCTGGCAAGGCCTGACTCATGCTGAAATTCTAGCTTTCTTGGACCTCGCTTCCAAATTTTTTGCGCATAGCTCATGACATAGTCATTCGGAATGTAAGGTGGATCACGTCGAGCGAATAACCGGTCCACTGACTGCATCATGATTAAGAATTCCATATCTTTCCACTCAGGATATTCATCCAAGTCTTTCCGCGACTCTTGACGGAGTGCGTTGTAGAGATGTATACAGCTCATTGTACTAGGTTCAAAAGCTGTATTGCGAACTCCTGATTCGTTGTATCTTATCGTAGACATAAAGATCAACAAACCACACATAACAGGGTTTCGGCGTAGATAGGAGAATTTCTCATGTTTGTCCTCTGGGTTTGGCGCAGGGTGTATCTCTCCACGATCCCCGTCAGCGAAAGGGGGGTTAAGAGTCGAACTCATCCAGTCTTTCAAGTTGCAACAGCGAAGATCGTTATAAAGCCGATACGTTGCATCTTCTACATCCTTTAAATCGTGAATTTCAGCCATCGTAAAGCAGTTGTACAGGTTCTGTAGAATATGACTGGAAAATATAATGACCTCATCGTGGCAATGCACCACTTCCTTTCCCAGTATGAACCGAATATCGCACATGATCTGTGCCGCGAAGACCAACCACACTGGAATCTGTTTGGTAGTCAGAAAATTCCGGACACCTGTCGTGAACGCATCTTCAGTATAGTTCCCATCCACGCTTGTGGCCGTCTCTTCCTCGAGGTGCGAGACCTCGTAAAGCAATTCGTGTAAGATTTTGCGATTAAGAACAATCTTATCTTCCAAGGTGAACTTTGTGTTTTCTCCCTGCGCGACAACTTCATGATCAGAATTTCTTTGGTATTGATTCACCGAAAATTTATCATGCCATTCAGATAGTATCAACCAAGTGGTATAACTCAGATAGTCCTACACAAAATGTGTTAGCGAGGAAGGAAATGGGGCATCAGCAGACAATCGTCGTCTGATCTCAACGATTTTAATTCAACATAAATCATGTATTTCTCATTAAATCTCAAGCTTTCAGTGTATAAATGTGAGATAAGTTGCACAGTTGATAATTAGGGTTACTAACTTCAGTCGCTATAACAGCATTGTGCTCTTGGCTGTCGTCACTTTTATCCTTAAGATACATCAATTCGTTGAAGTCAGTGGCGCTTGCTTTCTTGAATTTCTCCATCAACTTGTTGACATCCGGGCACATGATATTTGCAATGCTTTCGTAGCTCCGTTTATTACTTGGCAGATTGGAAAACAATTCTCGCTCGAAATCTATGGAATTGGACATCGCTGTATAAGTGGCAAGCGAGACGCTTGCTAGGCTGAGAAGTCCCATTGAGTAGTCGCCCCACATTTCGAGTAGATAGGTTCTTGTAGCCTTTGAATCCTTGAGAAAGAAGTAAACTCTCATGTATTCGTCGAATGGATCGGATTCATCGACTTCCAATAGCACGATTTGTTCGTCGATCGGTACATCAATTTCGTTCTTTCTAATCTTTCCACTCTCTGGCTTTTTACCCTTCTTTCCCTTCTTTCCCTTCTTTCCATGCTTCTTCTTTGCTTTTGGCTTGCTGTGATTTATTATACTACCACTAATTGACCTTCTCTCTTCATCACTATCCGAATCCGAGGATGGTTGAGTACTTTCAATCTCCAAGCTACTGAATTGGTTATTGATGACTCTCTCATCGTTGGTGGCCTCCGAATCGATTTGGGGTTGCTGATCAGTTTCATCATCCAGTGCCACATTTTGTTCCTTTGAGATGAGACTCTCGAATAGTCGCAATATCATTTGCAACGTTTCCAAATAATGCCTGTGGCCTTCATCTGCCTGGTTGTTACGTCCATACCATTCCGCTGCCTCCTTGCGTTTTGATATAACTTGAGCTAGATCATCTCGGACGTTACTTGGTAGCTCATATTTCTGGCTAATGACAGCCTCGGTAAGCCTCTTGATGTATTCAAGTCGAGGTGTAGAGCCAGGGGACCTAAGATCTTGTTCTATTGCAGATGCTGTTTTCACGAGCCACCCGAGAAACCTCTTTTCCAGCTCTTTGTAAGACTTCCAAGTATCGTAGACGGGAAATTGATAAGCCATAATAAAGTATCTTGAAGATACAAATAGAGTACGTATGAATCTTCCAAAATTGGTAATAATGCTGCAAGCCAATTGAAGAATGCAAGTTGTCAAGAGAATGAAAATGAATTTCCAAAGCACTTATTGTAAACAAAACCTAGCATGAAGCAATTAACACCTTCCCATTACCAACACGTAATGAAGATTAAGGAAGTGACGACTTGCTCGAACGGCTCATGACATCCACGTGATGTGCGAAGGTTACTACGTATACAAACTTATACCTTACGACCCCGGCATTTTATTCAGGTGAACACCAAATAATCGATGAGAAATTTATGAAATCCTAATATGTAATCCGCCGTGTATGCGTATGGGCTTTTCTTAGTAGGCAACTAATACCGTTCATAACATGCCCAATTATCAACTGATAAATCGAATCACCTATCAATCAGTCAATTGCTCATGTGACTCTCGACTGACGAGTCGAGCTGTTTAAGAATGCAGCTTGAACTGTGAGACAGTTCATTGTAAAGCTAAAATTTAGCCAGGGAGGTGATGAGAACCATAGGCTAGCATAGGTAGGTAGGCAATAGTTATCCTTTTCTTGCCTTCTGGGTGCAATGAATCAAAAACGGGGTAATTTCTTGATTCAGCGCGGCTGTTACCATTGAGAAATATGTATAAGAGATCACGAAAGGTAGGCTCTGAAAGTCATGTTTGCTGGAGGTTACTCAAAATCAACAACATCGTCACGTTATCACAACACTACAATCTTCAAGCAACATTAGAGATGCAACATGATTAGATTCAGAACAGAGCTTTCATAGTAATAATCATCAAATAAAATGTACGAAATCAAGAGTTCAAACAAAAACCAATGCCAATTGCCGCATGCTTCCCAACTCAACCAAATTTGTCAGCCCATGAACCACACAAAACTATCTCAGTGCAAACAACATCCAGCAATATCCATATTCCATATCCGACCCAAGGAAAACAATTCTTTGCCAATATCACTAGCTTTCTCGTCCAAACACCTTTCAACAATTCTTCGGAAACTTCTTATAATCCCTAACAAACGGGACAAAAGCCGGAACCTTCTGCTCTCTAAAAAGAGGCTTACGAACTAACGCATTTGCCGACGCATTAAATTCTTTCTTCACCTGCCAAACCAAACCGGGATATGAAAATGATTGAACTTCGAGATCAAAGTATCCAACTCCCGGAAAATCTCAGCATTAACAACCGGCTTGCCATTCGAAGTCTTGAATCCGTTTTCCTTCCACTTGTAGATCCAATCCGCAAACCCATCAACCACAGATGCCGAATTGGTAATGATGAGAATCTTAGAAATTCTCGATGCATTCTCATCGCCGTCATCATTTCCTCCCCGCGCAATAAAAGCATCCAGAACCTGCTCAGCCATCCTCAAAGCCACACGCACAGCGACTAACTCAGCTACTTGAGTCGTCTGCGGGATATCCTCGTCGAGAAGCTTAGAAACACAATTAGGTGTCGTGTCGCCTACATAAACACCATATGCAGCTCGATTGGCTTCATTTCCGTTCGCACTGCATGTACTGTCGATAGCAACTACACGCGATCCTTCGTCAATAGTCACCTCGCCATCCGCATTGCGAGATTTGAGTTTGAGAGCACCGCAACAGCCTAGTGCGTCGAGAACATCGGCTGGATTGTCGACATACAATTCGTTGGCGTCTGGGTTGAAGCGGCGTTGGAAGACTGCTTCATGGCTGAGTCCGTTGTATCTGGTAGTGCAGTCGCACTCGATGTCGCGGCTGACGACGATTGAAATTTTAACGTAGACCATGGTTGTCAAATTGTTTGTTGTGAACTCGTGATGTTTTTTGAAGTGCTGGATTTTGATATTTCATCATTTCTGGGAATCACTTTATACGTATAAGAATTTGGCACATTCGATCGTTTCATCTATTTTCTTGATGGAGATTCTTCAGAGTACTATTTGGTCTCACTACGTCCCTGGATTATTTATTCACAAACGCAAATCTAATGATCTCGCCCGCAGCATACATATGTGACTGCCCAACATCTATTTACAAAGATTATGGCTGTAAGATCTTTTCCTGAGGCTGTAACAGCAGGCTTGAAACAGGGGTTCTCATCTCTTTGTTCTTCATAGAGATGGAAATCATGGCTGGCTTCTCTTTCTGCAGTTACTCTCCAAATCAAAGACTATTCTCAATCATATCTCAGCCATGCATTCAAAAATTTATTACCATTTGTAGCTCAGAATCAAGCAATTATTCTGGAATATTCCATTCTATGTTCACGTCGCTCTCATTGAGAAGTGTAATGACGAGGAAGTTTCAAACTGGAACATCTCAGCCACCAATTTCACCCAACACAAAAAGACGCTTCTAACTGTCATGATCATTTAACTTCACTGCAAATTGTTCCAATGATAATTTATTAAAGAAGATAAATAATCTTCATTTCTGGTTCAAGCACGATTCTCAATATTGACACGGACCATTGCATGCGTCAATATCAAATATTGCACCATTGCATAATTGTGACATATAAATTTTTTATAGACTATAGTAAGTAAGATGACAAATGAAAAGTATGAATATACTAGTAGTGATGATATATAACAAGATTTGCATCGAGTAAAGAAACAGGATATTATGTTGACAAAAACAAAGGAAAATGGTGGAATCACAACTGCCATTACAGCCGCACACTAACTCTCAAACTCTCATCCTGACCAACATACCCCGTAAATCTGCAGTCAAGCTCTCACAGCCTTCGTCGTTTCGTAGCGATCCCCTCTTCTCAAGCTTCCCCAAACAGTTCTCTTCCTCTCCATCCCCCTGATGTTCTCACCCACAACTCCATCTCTCCCCATGACTCTTGGTTTCTCCTCCCTAGCCACCTTCTTCGCATTCTCCATGAATTTCTCAAATTCTCCATCTCTCACATTTCCAGAATCAGAGCATTGTTTTGTGACCGTCATAGAAACTCTCTTGATCATCTCTCCAGTCGAGTATGGCGCATATTCAGAGTACGTATATTCGGAATAACTATACTCGTCATAACCTCCACAATCCATCATCAAATTAGGCACATCAAACATTTTCAAGTAATCGGGTCTCTTGGATCGACGCGGTGTTTGGGCACGTTTTTTCTCCTCGACCAACACTGGAGCGTTGATTTGAGAGCGTAATGTATCAGGTTTAGGAGCGTTCTTCACACGACTCGGACTGGCTTTGATGGGTAGAAATTCTATCTCATAAGGTACAGTTCTGATAGTTGCCATAGAGTTTCGTGGTTCGGAAGATGTAGGAGAAGGCAAAACAGAAAGAGGTGCTTCATTTGAAACTTGTGATTGTCTTCGATTTGACATCGTTGAATTGCGTTTCGCATTCCTTACAGTCGCGCTCCTGCCTATGCCTGGAACGGGTGCCTCGGTACTCCCTAACGTATAATAAGTCTTTGAGCGCGTGCTGCTTGAGCGTTTGACCTTTGGAGCTAGACCCATTTGTTCAGAAAGATCAACTCCTTGCGTTTGGGAACGAGTAGGTGTTGGGCGTGATGACTTGAAGTCTGACAGAGAGCGCCTGAGGGAAGATAAACGTTTTGGGGTACTTTCATCAGGTCCCTTGCGAATGAGGAGAGGGGCGACAGTATCATGGGTGTTTTGGGTTGTTATTTCACAGATATCAGAAGGATCGAAAGAGGGACGAACGGTTGTGGCCATAGAGTTACGAGGAGCATTGCTGCTGCGGGTTTGTGGTCGAACAGAAGCTGTGAAATCGGCTTCAGATTGAAATTCGCTCAACACTGACTTACTGAAGGAAGCAGGATATCGCTCTAACTCGGGTTGCGATTGAGATGCTCTGCATGTTGACACACGAGATAATGCAGGATGTTGAGCCAAATCTACTTCGGGGACTTTATCCAACTTCGTAGGAAAATCCATCGAAGCATTGTAATTGGGCGGCGGCGATCTAACTGCTTGTACTTCCATTACCGGAAGGTCCGTAGCAATCCTTTGGTTACTTCGAAGGGTTGAAGTGGAGTATGCTTTCTTGATTGATAAAGGTGCAATACCACAAGTTGATGCTGCTGAGTTCGACATTGAGGTGGAAGTTGATGCGGATGTATTGGGTCGTCGAAGATCTTTACGGGAAAAATTACTTCGTAGAGGCGTTGGTGAAAGGAAAGGTTCAGATGGAGGTGTTTCAGCTATAACCGCGGGATGAAGCTCTACAGGATCCGACATCACCATTTTGATGTCAATTGGATAGCCTGCACCTTTCTCCATATCATTCTCTGCTTTCTCATTCTCTAATTTCCCATTCTCTGCTTTCCTTGCCTTTCTCGAAAATTTCATTGATAATTTCCTTCCCATGGATTTTGCAGCGCGAACAGGAGAACTATCCCGAGACTTGCTCTTGGGTTTCGGTGTTGCAGGTCTGGAATCATTGTAGGGATTGGAAGTGAGGTTGTTGATCATGTCCAGAGACGTGCGTTCTCTAATGATACTACACTGTGTGGGTGTTTCTCTAGTCGTGGGGGCTGGATTGGGACTGGTACTTGGCCGGGTAGCCTTTTTCCTTTTGAGACTTCCAAACATACTGGCTCTGAACAAAACGGACTTCTGAGACGCTTTGTGATCAAGGACATTAAATCTTCTAGGATCTTCCAAGGTATTTTGACGTTGATGTTGATGCACGGGTCTCGCGTTGAGAGCTGGTGTGGTATTGATTGTCGAAGACAGGATATCCAACAACTCTGACTCCGAGTTTTCGACTAAGACAGGTCGATCGTGGAGCCGAGGAGGTGCTTTTCGAGAACCAGCGGGCTTTTGAGAGGGGCGTGATAGAATAGAACGACTAAGCCGGCGTAATTTCAAAGGCCAACCATCCTCAGTGGTCTCAGTCATAGGAGTGTAGGTGTTTTGCGAAAGCATGATGCTGGCGAAATGTCGTATGGTCGAGTAGATTGCTGTAGTATTTAAAGGGATGAAGAGAAGTTTTATGTAGATATAGGAATCTGTGTCGAAAGAGAAATGGAACTGTCAAAGCCCACTCTTTTGGTATTTTGAGTTTCGAACAGACAGGCTTAAAGGCAAGATGTTTCCAGGTTTCGGATTGATGAAACAGTATCCCAAATTTGACAGGATTCAAGCAATCAAAGAACTCTTGATGGATTCAATTTGTTTCGGTGAACAGTAAAGTAGTAAACGGGAAACAGGAAACAATAAACAAATAAATAACACGGGGATATTGCAAGTGCGAAAGTGCAATAAATGTATGAAGGTATAGATAAGATTTGGCTAAAGAGCAGATCATTTGATTTACCAGAAATCAAAGTTTAGGACCCGCAAAGCAGCACTGCATGCAATGTTAACAGAAACGAAAGTAAAAACAGGTCTGAAAAAAACGTTTGGAAGAAACTCTAAACTCATTGATGCAGGAACGCAGACAAATGTATCTTATATGGTCACTGGAGAAAAATTCTTCCCAGCTGCAGTACCATCCGAGCATCATTTCCAGGGACTTCCTGCTTCCCTGCCACTAACAAAGAAGTTTTAAGGAAGAACAAAATGCCTTACAAACGACAAAATGATGTGCACTAGCCATGCGTACGATTGTCCCTGCGCAGATCCGTATCTGAAAAAGAGCGTCAAAGCTGCAAACGGCACCCAAATTTGGTGGTGAAAAAGTGCAATGCTCGTGCTCAACCCTCTATTTGGGACCATTGAGTGGGGCGTGATACTATATAGGGAAGTGAAAGGCAAGATTTAGACTGAGGTGCTTTGGTGATATTGTGATATTGATATATCGTGATGCCTTGGGAGGTGTTGTGAAATTTTATTTGGGAGAGAGACCGGGTAAAAGAAGTGCCTTGGGGTGAAAGGAAATGGATTTGAGACAGGTGATTACGTAGATACTAAATATAAGGTTAGGATTTGGTAGGAACGACAATGAGAGGTATAAGTAGGTAGTGTCGAGATGTTCATCAAAAGATTTTGATCTTAGCGACAGCGACATCAACGGCGATAGCGATGGCGATGGCGATGGCGACCAACATCACAAGTATTTCTGGGTTCCTGGAAAGGTATTGAAGACAGAGCCAAAAAAAGATAATTGATAATCCGGGATCGAAGCATACAGGGACCGATTTCAGAGTCTGACCACGCCAAAATCACACCAAAGCTCAAACTAATATTTTGGTGTTTCACCATCCAACCCCCTGTTTTAATTCTGAAAAAGTCATAGAATGGTCAGAAATATGTTTATTTTTCCTTCTTCAAATACTCGCCATCCCCAACTCGTGCGCACAGTTCTTTAAGTGCGTGGCCAGCCCACTCAAAATCTTCCATATCGAGATATACTTGTCCACTGTGAGAGAGTGGATTGTTAGTTTGTTGCAGAACACGAAATTTTAAACATATGATGTGGAAAAGCTTTTATGAAGGTATGAATCACGAATCAAAGAGCAGGTGAATTATCACATACCTTAATCTAGCCCACCATTTGTTGTTCACGAATGCTATGGCGATGAATGTTTTGTATTCGTTTATCAATGTTTCCGACATCCATTGGTAAGCTTGCATTTTGGTATCTTCATTGATCTTGAAGAATGCGTCGATATTTGATGTTCCAATCTCCAATGGTAGTAACACATTGACAAAGCAACAATCTGTCAATGTGTTGGTACTATTATCCAGAACCTCAGTACCCAAAATCTTTGCGATAGCTTTACCACCTTCTCGCGATAAATTGGTACAGTAATCCATGATGGCTTTTTCACCACCACAAACTTCTTTGCGCCATTTGATTGCTTCGGTGGTGCAGAGATAACTGCTGTTATCAATCGTACCAACGAATTCGAATTGATTGACAAAGACGCTCTTGACGCTTGGCGGTAACGGATTGAATGGCCTAGGTCCCTTAGGAACGAAACCATGTGATGTAGGTAAGGTTGACCTCATCAGATCCTGGTTTCGTTTTGGAACGTAAAATACGGCACAGCCTCGCGGGACAAAGAGCCACTTGTGACAATTGCTGACGAAGAAATCAGGATCAAGCTTTGATAGATCAAGTGAAACGTGACCGATTCCGTGGGCTCCGTCAACGATGGAATACATGCTTTCCCTCTTGCAGATCTCGATGTATTTCTCGTAAGGAACTCTCAATCCAGGAAGTGATCCTACTACATCAAATACAGCAGCTCGAGGACGTTTGCCTTCTTCTTTTGAGGCTTCAATTGCCTTCTCAAATAGTCCAACGAGTTCATCGTCCTCGATGGGATATTGGAAGGTAATCTGTCTGGGTTGGACCAGGCCACGACTGGCCTCCGAAACATATCTGATCTATAGCATGAGTAAAGGTTAGACTTGATGTTGAATTATGGACGATCAATTGATAGCAGTGCTGGAAAATTATATCCAGGGTTTGGGAGCTACATACTGTCAAACCACAAGCACCATATATTGTAGAAAAAAAGAGAATTTCATCTTTTCCGTCCTCATTCCACACCAAATTTCTCAATACAATATTGACTCCGGTAGTCGCATTTGGCACGAAGACCACAGTGTCAGTTGGAACATTGAGAAGCTTTCCCAGAGCTTCTCGTGACTCATCGAGAACTCGTGGGTATGTATACCGGATAAACTCATCTGGACGAGCTTCTGAATCATCTTGATACTGTCTTTGCTTTTCACGAATGGCACGAGGGATAGTGCCAAAAGAACCTAATATCGTAAGCTAGGTAATTGCAATTGGAGGCGGGGAAAGGGGGAAGGGGAGGGGCAGAGGGGGAGGTTGGGATTTGATGAATATACCATGATTCAGATTTCTCCACCCTGGTTCGAAAAGAAAGTGCTTGGCCATTTCTTTACCAAAAGGCGTTGCTTGATATGTGTTTGAGTCGCTGAGGGAAACTTCCCCAAACTTGGTGTCTAATTCTCCCATTTTGATAACTTTGATGATAATCGTTGAAATAATGAAGTGTAGATATGAACAGTGAAGTGAAGAAAGTGAGGGGGAAATGAACTCTATTATACTAGAAAGTGGAGAACACCAGAGACGCCAGTAGGATGTCATCGATAACCATTTGGTGGAGAAGCAACAGTGAATGGCCCGGGCTATCACAGTGCGGAAAGATAACAAACGGTCAATACATGATAAAATCCATCGATGACTCTTTTGCCAAGTCAGAACGATTTCAATCTCAACGGAGGTACAAGCCGACTCCAAACATTTGTGCTGCAGATGTGGATTGCAAGATTGTCAAGTAAAAGGCGTGGTAGTGTTCGACTTCCCCCCACCTATCAAATACGCCTATCACAACAATAAAGTTCATGCCAAACCTCAAGACCCATCCAGATTCTTCATGGAACCAATATCAACAACTTCACACACCTAAACAACTTCATATAAACCCATATCTTGCCGATGCTATGCGAGAATTTCAGTCATAGATCCAACACCGGACAATAAGACCATAAGACATTGAGGAAAGTGCTCAGGAGCATTGAAGAATATCCCATATTAAGTGATGGAACAATCGATGCAACACAGCTCCCTTCTGACATCCGTCACCAAGACTGGTGAAAAGCATCCAAGTGATTACACATCAACCACCACGAATCGAAAGGTTATCTGGCTTAGCTTTATATATCGATGAAGCTGTCAGATGTACATCCAAGAAAAAAAATTAAAATTTGGTTGATTAGGTTGATTTGATTGACTGATTTGCCCTGTATATTGGGGTTACTGAATTCTGCAACTCTTGACAATGATGCGGAAGAGATGAACAGCGTCGTATTCCAATTTCATAATCTGCGCTTTTTGTCTATCGACAACTTCTTGACATGAAAAGTTCATGAAACAAACAGTATGAATACTTCAAGTATTGACAATGGTAGGTTGATATAATCTTACCAACAGTCAGCATCACAAGTCTTTTCTGCCAATTCACCGCCTTCACCTGTCACAAATTTATATTCACCATATCTTCAGATATAATCAAGATTCTCTGCCCAGGACCCAAACATTAACGAAACGACACACTCTTAAATCTTGCAGAGTCGACAATGGTTTCAGCCTCCAATATGAAACTGGGTTCTTCAGAAAGAACTCGAGAACTGACGACGGTGTCACTTTCGTGCTTTGATACGAAATAGAGGCCAGCGTTGGATGGTGTGGCCCAAATCAAGACCAAGCAGCACTTGGCTTTCTCTGGCTTCAAGGACGGGGATAGTAGGGTCGATTCAATAGTGCTGTTGAATGACTTCTCGATGCAGATTTGGAAAACTCATCCCACATCATTCGTTCCCGGAAAAGTTCATCTTCTGCAACAGACCCATCTTCGGCCAACTTCCCAAGGTCAAAGAATTGACATTACAAGATTAACAATCCATGCTGAACCGGCTGTTAGTTCCGCCTTTATGGAAACACGAATCCGTCATGTTGACTAGTTTTTGGTGGGAAATTGAATGTGAAACGAGTGAACAAGTCGAGGTTTCTTGTGAGATCTGGAAGAGGAATACATTCAGTAATCTCGCTTTGCAAGTCGAAATCGCGACGATTAGACTAAGCTTGGAGAAAAATTCTGAATCCAGATCTCTTAGAAATTCTTTTGGGCAGACTTTGACCAATTCTTTGCTTGGTTGGTCGACTAGCTGATTTGATCGCCAGAAAAAATAGAGTGCTGTGATCAAACTTCGAAACTTCAATTCCGACGGAACCCACCCAAATGGAGCGCATCATTGGAGCGCATCCAGGAGTTGCTGCTGTTTTATTTGTCGGAACACGACGCCCTAAGGGTGCTTTACTTGTTGAGTTGCGAAACCCATCTGTGGACAAAGATGTCTTTCTTGAATCGTTATGGCCGCTTGTTGAGGAGGCGAATAAACCCGTACCATACACTGCTAAAATCACTAAAGACATGATCTTAATCACAGACGAAGCACTTCCGATGGTAAGATCTATTAAAGGTACTATCGAAAGAAGAGGTACGGTGAGACTTTATGAACAGAAACTTGACCTTTTGTATGCAATTCATGCCTAGAGCACAATTAAGGGGGGGAAGGGGTTGGTAAACTTCCTGCATTGGAGTACCATAAAGATGAGCCCTCGCAATAAGTCCACATTTTCAAAAAGACCTCAACAAATCAAAAAATCATAACGTTCTTCGCTGATACTGTTTGATCAATCGCGGCTCAGTATCTTCGGTAAAAATGTGTAGTGAATATGATCTCAGATCCTTTATTAGCCTAACGGCATGTAAAAACGGGCAAAACCCTCGGCACGATGATGTTCTTGAGAGCCCTAAAACATTAGATTTACATGCTAATATTGACATTTTGATGGAAGGGAAGTTTTGCATCTCAAAACATATATGTATGTATCTATATACAGTACTATGCATTAAGTTTGCGCGACAAGCCTTTTTCCACCAAAACTCACCTTATTTAAAATAAGATTAAAAATCAACTTTTCTATCTAATTATAAGAAAACTAGAGTTTCTATTAAAACTTATCGAAATATCGATAAAAAATTAATGAATTATTTTTATTGATTTTTGTTTCGATTAAAAAAGACTTTGAATTTGAAATCTCTAAAAAGTTATAGAATTCACTTAATTTTGATATAGAAATTGATTTCCAAAAAATATTCTATTTCAAACTTATATATAATATCAACTAAAGATTCTAGAGTTGTAAAATTATAATTATTAAATATTTGATTAATTTTAATTCTATTAATATAAGATTCATTATAAAATATTTAATATATAAAGATTTATATTCAATTGAAATCAGAATATTGACATCTTCATTTTGTAATATAATTAGAAACAATTCTATTTAGATATCTTTTGATATTATAAGCTTTTTCGTATTATGTAATTCAATTAATTATTTATACAATTCCAGATTTTGATAGAGATATATAGAATTGATGATTTTTAATCATTTATTAAAATTGTTAAGTTTATTCGAATAATCAATTTCGCGCGAACTTTATTGAGGTTACTGTAGGTCAAATCCAGATTTTATTTAGAAATCAGAAGAATGCAAGCCAGAGATAGTTAAAAGCCTAATGATTGGCCGTTAAAGCTTAGTTTAAGCTTATCCTTATCAATTTTGCAACCCTAACGCAAATTCTAGACCGCTAAACATTTCAACTCCAATCTTTATTCTAGCCCGTCACTTTCCTCATTTGTCATTTTCCATTCGCCATGCTGTAAGCCAACCAACATGTTATAGATATGTTTGGTAACCCGTGCAAGGTTATATCAGCCCGTCAGCGGCCTGCAATAACTCGCACAATGCTTTATTACCTATGTAGGCTTGAAAAGATTATATACCTCCCGACATCCATTTCTTCTGGACGAAACGGCCGACAATCTTTTATATCTTAGTATCTAGCTACGCGGAGCAAGCTCCTACGTTGAATACTCTGGTGCCTTGAGGCTCTAGGTTCGTCGATCCAATTCTGGAACAAATTGCCGATGTCTTCAAGCATGCGCAACTCAAGAGAAAACTGGAATGAGTGGCCCGTCTTTAGTAGAGAAAGTTCCAAAGCTGCTGCTGTTGATGAACAAGTGATGACTGGAGCCGACAATTCGGAGAAGATCGAACCAGACACTGCTATTAAGAATGATGCATCATCACAAGAGAAGATATATCCAAGCGGATGTAAATTTCTTCTCATCACATTGGGTATCATGGCTGCTGTTCTGGTGGTTGCTCTCGATAACTATATCATATGTAAGCCATAACTGATACCATCTCTGCATAAACACTGATGATATCATAGCAACAGCTATCCCTCGATTAGCCACAGACTTCAAGTCAATCAATCTGACTGGATGGTACAGCAGCTTTTATTTTTTGACAATCATGGCTTTTCAGCCAGCTCATGGACAGACATTCACATTCTTCTCAGTAAAATGGGAATTATTGATCAGTATCCTGTGGCTTGAAGTTGGTTCTATCATAAGTGCAGTCGCCCCTAATTCAATTGCCTTCATTTTTGGGCGTCTGATTTGTGGTGCAGCTGCAGGAGGAATCTGGTGTGGAACACTTACGCTCGTTACTAATGTCGTTCCTCCTGCAAAGCGTTATCTATACGTGCCGCTAGTTACTAGTATGTACGGTGTGTCCTCCGCAGCTGGACCGCTTCTTGGAGGCTTATTTACAGATTCGAAGCTCACCTGGCGATTCTGCTTCTGGTTGAACCTGCGTAAGTAGTAATCTCCGCTGTAAGCTCTTGCAAAGTTCTGACATTTAATTTGAGAAGCTATCAGTTTTGTTGCCTTCTTGTTGATTGTGTTTTTCCTTGAGCCACCAGAACTTTCGGAGCTGGGGAAAAGCCTGACTATAAAGCAAAAGATTATAAGGATCGACTTTTTGGGCACGCTTCTTCTGATTGCAGCGTTCACCTGCTTTTTCTCGCAGCTCAATGGGGTGGCACCACATACGCGTGGTCTAATTCCAAGGTCTGGGGTTGTATACTTGGCTTTTTCCTTCAAATAGCAGCCTTCACTTATCTCCAGGTTCGGCTTCAAGACCGGTAAGTTTAAATTGAGAATCTGGATATCCTTCCTAACGTCTCAATTAGCGCGACAATTCCCATTCGGGCATTGCGAAACTTCACAGCCTTACTGTGCCTTCTTTATCAACTTTTCATCTCTATGGTCATAGCGATACAGATTTAATTATTTGCCTTTCTACTTTCAGTCCGTACTTGGGCATTCCGCGGCTTCATCAGGAGTTCTCACCCTACGTAATGACGCTACTTCTTTCACCAATGGCTAGTGGTGCTTATATTACCACCTACGGTCATTACATCCCAATCATGTATATTGGGGCTTGCCTAGCTGTTGTGGGCTCTGGAATGTTATCTACACTCACCATCACAAGCAGTCAGGCACAGTATGTGGGCTATCAAGTTATAGTCGCTTTGGGAGCTGGTACAGTTCAACAGATTGCCTTCACTGCTGTGCCTTTAGCACTTCCACCGGCGGATGTAGCTACTGCGAGTGCGCTAGTATCTTTCTGCAACAGTCTTGGGCCGGTAGTGGCCCTTATTGCCGGAAACATTCTTTTCACCAACCTCTTTGGAAGCAAATTGGCAGAAATTCCAGGGTTGAGTGGAAAAATTACTGGATCAGAAATCAAGGGACTGGTAGACATTGGAACACTCGTAACAGCCCAGTACGTGGCAGGTGTCAAATAAGTCGGACGCTTTTGTTTGCGATACGAGCTGCAGGATTAGCCGCATGCTGTGGTCTCGTAATCCAGCTTCTTTCGTGGAAAAAGAAAAGAATAAGCAGTCCAACGTCGGGAGAGATGACGAGAAAAGGCTTCAGCAGAGTGATGCGAAGGTCTAGCTTGTTTTCGTACGTGAACTTCCGCGCAGAAGACCCTTCTTCATGATAGCTAGTACTGTATAAACATCTCTTATCTCCCATGATCCAAGTTTAGCATTCAGCTCTGTCTGGAACACTCCAGGGTGATTTAGACATATTTGTAAATACCCGAATCTGGCCTATTGAAGATCGCAATATAGCTTAAAACTTCTATCTAGTAATTTTTGTCATGCACCTTCTGACTACCATTCTATCAACGATCCAAAAAGAAATTCGAGTATCACTGCTTTGCACACGCCAATCAACGGTACACGGTCTGACAGAAGGATGGCCAATATGAAAGCTCTACAAATTTTAACGTTCAAATATCGATAAACTGAGCAGATTGATTGTCGCTCGAATTATTTGATACTTTCAGCACCACTTATATTGATCACATGCGCCGTAGGTTAGTCCAAATGGATGACCAATACCCTTTCGTGATTTTTATGTTTTTGTATGACCTCAGCTCATTCAAGCAGTCCTCTCGATAACGAAACCTAATTGTTATTGCACAAGCATCAAGACTAAAGGTATTACAACGGTAGAATCTCCGAAAGTAATAGTAGGGGGTCTGGTCAAGGGGTACTGCAGTAGTGGGTCTTTCTCGCTAATGTGTGACTTAATAGGGGGCCGATGTTTATACATTGCTGGACAAAAAGAGGGCAACGCCTTGAAAGAGTCTCAGATCATCTGATTTTTGGGATGAAGTCGCCGAAAGAAAATAGAATCCATCATCCGAACTTCCCGATTGCAGGGAGGTAAGCAGATAATTCAGTCAAGCTTTGCTGCGCATACACATGATAAAACGACAAAAAGTTTATACCCAACGTGTATAATTTCTATTACAACCTCCAATCATCGCAAATAGATCACCCCCCCCCCCCCCCCCCCCCCGGAACCCTCATAACCACATACACCATCCCCCGCCTTTCCCCTTCCTCACTTAAAACTCCAGCTCATCCCCCCCACAAACCCCATCATGCAGAACCCTATACCCCGGCGCCACACCCCCCCAGAACGGTATCTGCACCGTCGTGACCGGTTCATCCAACGACGCTGTCACATGCCCATTGGCACTTGTATCTTGCGTATCCGCTGCCACAATAATGCCATTTGCGCCTGCTGAGAAAGTTGCAGTCTGGTCTGTTTCGGGTATGGTGATAACCATTTGTCCGGAGAGAAAAAGTACGTATCTGGTTGTTCGGTTAGAATTAATTGAATTCTATTTTTGGAATGAGATGGGAGAAAGGATTGAATCAATATGAGAGGAGACAAACTGTGAAGTAGGCGCCACATGGGCCGCGCCGGGGAAATTAGCGGGCAGATATCCATAAGTCGCATTTCCCATCGCGCCCAACTTCTGTAGAATCATCTCGGTACCATAACCAGGCTGCTCACCAGAGATGATGGGATCGGTAAGCTGCCAGCATTGGAACATAGAGATGTTGTTTGAGGCGGTGATGGCGGTTAGGTTGAAGTTTGTTGGGACCGCGTTGACGGGTGATAGATAGGAGGCAAGAAATGGGACTGCGAAAAGATATGGGGTGCATTGGGAATGCATTTTGGATCTAAGGGGCTGAGTTCAGGAATTTAGAATCGGATCACAATCACAAGTTTATATCTTTCAATGGTACTGACTTTATATACATACAATAATGGCTTCCATAAGTAAACGCTGGAATCATGCAAGTGCGGGGTACTTGTTTTTACCACCTCCGATACTATAGGTTGGTTCTAGATAGGCATTCAGTGTTGCATATGCATCGAGTCAATTCCGGAAAATAAAAAGGCAGTGATTGGCACTTGATAGTTTAAACTTTACCGCACAGCAGCTGATGTTAGCCCCCAGATCTTTAGAGTGATGCAGTCCAATCTAGACGTTGAATGCAGTAATTCTTCGATCCAACAGTTGGGTTCAATGTAATCTGAACGTCACCCACCATAAGTTTCACCCATCTACAACTCATGTATGTAAGGTGGTGCAGTTTATAAATAGTTGCTAGCTGAATTCGAACTATTCCGACCGAACCAAAGCTTTGTAGCATTGAATATCAAACAACAGTGCTACTGGTAGAATTCAGATGTGTACGCATATGAACAAGGAACTTTGATTCATCTCCTTCCAAAATAAGAGTTGGCGCACACAGAATCTCTACTAAATGAAGTACCAATACTGAAATAGCGCTTCGTGCAGATTGTTGAAGCTATACCTTGAACGCGGGTGTTGAGTCTAGTGGTTGTCTTGCCCTTGTAGACTCATGATTGGCTTGTTGGTTGATATAATGCTCCACAGAATTAAAGATTATCGTCGATTCAAGATCAACCGATTTATAGGAAAATGCATGCACTTGCATTAGTCTATCCAATGATAGAAGGATAGTATGAATAGCTGGAAGCGGGTATAAGTAAACGTCAGTTGGTGGATTTTCACCTGCTCTTCGGGGAGCGGCTCCCAATTTCTCTACACTGATTATATTTCTCACATTCAAGGTATACAGTGGACAAAAAAGAGAAATGAAGACAGTGAGATGTATCTTTGTATTGGAAATTGGACTTTGTTATTCATCCGACCTCCGTAATATGGCACCAAAGTGCTAACTATCTGAAATGAACTCGTTGAAATATAGTCATGCATTCGTCCCGTCTTCGTGTCATAAAAAAGCATATCCAACGCCAAATTTCCCATGATTCAAGATCCAGTTATCGGGATGACCGATTATAACTGTTTCGCAGAGGCGAGCCTCTTGCCCCATTCCCTCCGTTTCATATTCGGTGCCTCGCCACTCCATCCAATACTTCTCATCATCATTCATCATTCGGGCTTTGTTCGTTTGCACCTCGCACCACTACTTATCACCCCTAATACCGATCATCATCATGACGTCTTCCATGAGAATGGCTAGAATGCCTCGAATGACTTCTATGTTCGTGTCCATGATGTCCGTGATGTCCATGATCATGATGTCTCGAATGCCTATCCTCTTCATATCCTCCATGACCACTATACTTTTCATCCCTATACCCACCATGCTGCGAGTGTGATCCCTCACCATCTCTTGGCGGCGAGCATTCCCGTCCAGTTTGTGCATCCTCATAGTATTCTACATCCCGATTGTTGTGATCTTTTCTATATTTCTTCACTTTGTTTCCGAGAAATTGTCCAGCGATCATTCCACCAGCTGCATACAAGAGTTTGCCCATTGTGCCGCGACCGGTTTGAGATGCGACACCCCAGCCTCCGGCGGCGCCGAGTCCCATAGATACAAGTCCACGATCGCCTTCAATGGGCTGACCGTTGGCATCGAGTTGTGGGGGTGGGAGATTAGCGCCGGGCTCGTGGTAGGTTGGTGCACCACCGGGGGGTGCAGAGCCATAGGGAGCGGGTGCGCCATAAGGAGTGGGCGCTGGGGAATAGCCACGGTTATCGGTGTAGGCATTTAGTTGTTGGTTTCCGTATGGATCATTTGGAGGAGGGTAGGGGTTCTGTCCATAGGGAGATTGCTGGGGAGGAGCTCCGTAGGGACCTGGGGAGTGTGCTGGAGAAGGACCCGGTGCGCCATATGGTGGTTGAAGGTTCTGTGGTGGGTAGGGATTTTGGGAGTAATTTGGGGCAGGAGGGTAGGCGGTGTTGTCTTGACCGTACTGAGGTTGTTGAGGATATGGCTGAGGTGGGGCGGCACCATATGGCTGATGTGGTGGGTAGGGATTTTGGTTTCCACCACCATAAAAGTCCTGGTTGGACATTCTGTTTGAATAGATTTATTTGGGTTGTTTTCTTTGCTTAAATTATATCTGGAGGTTTGGTATGTTTGATGATGTTTCGCGACAAGTTTGATGATTGAATTAGATGAGATGTGACCTCTGATCAATGTAAGCGCAGGAGTAGGCAGCTTAGAGGAAGGTGGGTGAGAGAATCTTATATAGGGCAGAGCACAGCACGGATATGGTAGTGATTGAGGCACAGCTAGGGCAGTGAATCAATCACCTGCAGTCTCCAGGGCTCGCAAGGGATTTGAGCCACTCAGGCCTAAAAGCCTAATTGGCATAGCTGACTGTGATGAGTGGAGAGCATAGGGCTTATACAAGAGCTTTGGTTGGTTCATTGGCAAGTCATGTTCCGAGTTCCGTGGTGAGGGGCAATCTACTGCGCCACGAGTACAAAATTATCCCGGTTAGGTTAGTCATGCAAATCATGCAATAGATTCCTTCTAGAAGCTTGAAGAACCCTTCATTGGAGAACGATCATGGTTCCTGATAAATGCTGGCTGACTGGTTGGTATGTTCGAACTTCGAAGTGTTTGATGGTTCATCTGTTCTTTGTGTTAGTGGGTGATTGCACGCTGATGAGTGTGTTGAAAATGATCCAAGCACTTATTTGTCCCAAGACTTCCACACTTGTAAATGAATGGATTACAATATTGATTGCGTAGGACTTTCGATTAGGCTATTCGCATTCGTATTCATCTTGAACTATGAATGTTTACGAATCTTGCGAATAATTCTGCATTTTAATTTATTATAATTTCCAAAGAATAATAAACCACTCTCTTATTACCATACCGAGCATGCTAACCATCAACCCTCTCGCTTCCAGCCCCTTCATCAAAAACTCATCATCCACACTCAGCCCAATAAGATAAGAAGCAAAAAACGTCATCAACCTCGAAAAGACAAACTGCCACTCTACGCCTTATTGCCAAGCCACGAACCCTCAGCCCCGAGCCACTTTGCGCAACGAATGCCGAATTTCCGTTCTTGGCAATTGTCAATGCTAGGATATACCTTCGCTATCATGTAATCATTGCAATAGTTGCGGTATAAACAAATGAACACATGTGTTGTCTATGCAGTATGTTCCACTTTCGAGCCTCGTGATCTTTTTTCGCCGATGATAGGAAAAGAATGGGAGGGGCCAGATTACTGAGATCTAAATTATGTATTGTTCTGATTCAGTTATGTGTCTATTGAGAGAGCGCAGGCTTTCCCCGTTCGGTGCCGATTCAGTACCGAAGAGATACTTACTAGATCCGGAGAGTCCGAAATTTCTTCTGTGGAGGTCGTGGAAGTGGTCACGAGGTAGAAGAGTCATTATCCCCTCTTAGCATTTTGTGGCATTAGAATTTATCCACTATGATGTTCGACAGTTGAGTAGACCGTCGTCGAACATCACTTCGATTATTCAGGGTAAGAGACAATAGAGTTATGCGACCAATGTTTACATTGTAATTTTGCTCATAGTTATGTTACTACCCAAATGGAAATCTCATCGAGCCTTATCTCCCCGAGTTTCGATAGTATTATCCCACTGCTCAATACCATGATAAAAAAAGAATCAAACCAATCTAGATCTCCCATACCCATCATCCAGGCCAATGCCGGCACGATCATTATAGAACAATCCACCTCCTTCCATTGCAGCTTGCGTTTGCATCATTTCGTCCGGTCCCATTCCCACCTCACTAACCCAATCTTCTACATATGGAGATTGATAATTTGTATTCAAAGGACCACCATAATTTCGACGACCGCCTTGGCTGCGGTCATGAGTAGAATAAGGCATCATAGATGGTTCCATTCTCATCGAACGCTGTTCACTCAACTCCCTTTGTAAGTCCGCATTGCTTTCACCCCCTAGAGGAGACCGAGAGTGAATAGATCCATACCGAGACGATGTAAGTGGGCTGTCCATTTCGCCGTACATCAGAGGATTGGGACTTTGGTGAAGATTGTTGTGGTGGGAATGGGGATTCCTCATTGCTATTTCATTTCGCTCGTCGTACATCATTCTAGGTGTAGAACGTTGGGATATACGGGGAGAATTGGGGTAGTACGCTACTGGCTGATAATCTGGAGTCATAAGATATTCAGGGGGACCGGGTCCTAGGTCCTGGAATTGTGTTCGTGAAATTGGGGTGCGGGGGCTGTAGTATCGAGGCCTTTGAAGGCTAGAATCGGGATAAATATCTTCGCCTGAACGTTGACGGCTCGTATTGGGATGTCGTTGATTCAATGATCTGGATGCCATGTTGCGATCGATCAGGTGTTCGAATGTTCCATGTTGATCCGAACCTATATTTGATTGCAATCTCCTCCTATCGAATTCTTCAAAGTCTTCTAGACCCAGTGGTGCTGCGCCCAAGATATGACTTCGATCACGAGGATCTTGTCTACCAAGTCTGAGAGCCTCAAGACCCCCAGGGTTTTGGCCAATGCTTCTGGATCTTGGGCCTATTCCTGCCATTGCAAGAGCTTCCAGACCACCCGATCCTTCCAAATATCTTTCATTTGGATTAGAACGATTTCGTTGGAGTAAAGGTAAAAACAAGCCCGTAGAGAGGGGGGAGTGGCCGCACATTCTTGGAGTACCTCTAGGAGAATTTATTATTCTACTCATCGAAAATTGGTCTCTAGGACTTAGTTGTCTGGGGTTAGGATTGAAATTTGGACAACCTTCCCAATGAATACCGTTCTTCTCATGGCGGATATCGTAGCAACCGGATGTTGAACCTTGGTGGTTACTTAAGTGTGAAAGAGCATGTCGAGAACCATGATGAGGTCTGCCTAGACCAATACTTTCGAGAAGCATGTCGATAAAAAATTTCGCTTTGGGCTTGGATATTGACTCAACGTTATGTTGCATAAGTATAATATAAAATGAGAAGAAGAAAAAGAAAGAAGAGGGCTGTGAAGTCAGAGGGAGGAAGGATCATAAGCAAACTTCTATTTCTGTACGAACCGATACCGGATACGATAGTGGACAGCCATATGTGAGTCAAGATATCTTCTGACGATAAATCTATCTGTGAAAAGAAAGAATAGATGCTTCGCTTGTTCGCTTGCTGAGGAATCTTGACAAACTGTAATACCTGTTCGTGGTTTCAATCCGCACAACGTGATAGATTGTATGACGATCAGCCAATAGTCTTATTCTATATTTGCATGAGCTACAAATACAAAGCTCCATAGGTAGAATAATGATTGTCTTCTCGAAAATCACCGTATTGATCTTCCGGGTGAGCAAACAAACATTTTGATACGACTTGGCCCCCAAGTATGGAATCGTCCGATAGCCGGATACCTTCAAAGAATGTACGATGAAGTAGGTTGTGAATAAGAATCATCTAATGATTTGTTAGACGCGAAAACAGTCTCGCCAAAGCATTCCAGGGCCCGAGTCTGAACAAGCAAAAGCTTCTTTGAGCTTTGCAATTTTTCCTTGTGGTATGTTACATATTTCTTTGATTGGTTGGTAGAGAAACCATTGGCAGCAGTTTCCTCGATACATCAAGTGGTACAAGAGCGATGTAGTAGATAAGTGGTAAAGATGAAATTGAGAGCGAGAGATATTTGGAATGATATACGGTTGGTGAAATCTGGTACTCGTTACCATAAACGGCGTTGTTATTAATGTAGGACACAAAGCCTAGGTAATTATGGCTCGCTAGATCCTTTGGTCGATCGACAAGTCCAAGCATTGGGGGGTCGGATAGACACTCACAAGATAGATGGGAATGGTTGAGGAGATAGATTCAAAAGATGCAAGAATCGACTTCATTGATAGCTAAGTAGAAAAGAGTAGAAGAGCATAGAAAGATAGGAATGTATGCACAAGCTATACTGAATATCTTGGGAGATCCAGCAATATAAAGATTTATATCAAAGCATCAGTTCACCAAGACCATTGAGCAGTCTCCTTGTGATGATATCCGTAGAAATAGAAGATATCACTAGTATCAAAGAGTGTCGCTCCCCGAGTTCTTCGAAGAATACTGCGATGCAAGCGTAAAAAGTGACAAGTATTTACCTATATGAATGGCTATTAAATTTGAGAAGTTGTCCTTGTATATGGAAAGCTATCGAGATGCAGAAAGATATTGAAAACAAAGGCGCTCTGTAGAAAGAGAATAAAGGTTGAACTTCGTCGTATTAATGGTAAAGAAACAAGAGACTAGAAGAAATTCCAGCAATTACATGCGTATACATAGGTATTTATCAGAGCTTCCTATTTTATTGTTCGCCGATGATGTTGGCCAAGGACGGTTGTAGGATCATCATTTTGATGTCGATCACGTGAACGCTAAACCCTAAGCGTACTAACTCCTTGGAGCTACTGACCTTCGACGTTTCTTGCCCTTAACAACTTCCTTCGCTTTTTTTGTACGAAATTCGAGGTTCCTCAAATATCCAGAAGAAACAGTCGCCCCCGCAAATTCACGAAGAAAATTAAATCTTAAATCAATATCATAAGATATTCATTTACAGACAACTTAATCCTTCTCTACAATCTTTGAACAATACTTACTGCATATTTGAATTTGTGCGCATTATCCGCATTCAATCTAAAAAGTCGCCGCGCGATCAAAACTTTTACATCTACACACTTCCTTCCTCATTGTGAAAACAAGAGAAAGCTACCAACAAAATCAATATGCCTTCGCAAATGCCGTCAAGTTTTGCTTCTGCTGCTGCAGCGGCTGCAGGTCCAGGTTCGAGTCGCGATTCTCGAACGGGAAGGAACGAAAGTGCTCGTGGTAATGAATGGTATGTTTGATTCCTTTACACAGTGTATCTTTTTGAGAATTTATTACAATCGCTTTATTGCTATAATTGAGTTATTTTGGTAAAAAAAAACATATCTACATTCGTTACGAATTCTCCGTCCCTTTGATCCAATTACTTTCTTGGGTGTTCGGTGGTTTGAAAATTCCAGACGTCATTACCACCAAACCCTTCTTGGGGTTAGA